GAGGACTCACGCAGGACTAATTGCTTGCATGCGAAACGCAAGGAAACGAGAGCACCATGAGGCAAAAGGAGTCTTCCAGATGCTCTGGCACAAAAGAAATATAAATAAATGCCATTTGCCCTCAACACAATACGGGGAAAATGTCAAACAATTAAGCGGCAATTAGCAGAAAGCTCGAGAGTGCCAGCAGCAGCGGAGCAGAAGATTGTGGTGCAGAGGAAGTGGTGCTGGAAGTGGTGGGAGGGGCTCTGTGCTACGTGAAAGCGTTGCTAAACGTGTCTTCAGCTTCTCAAAAGGGGTTGAACGGGAACACGGCAAGGACGAAACACGAGGGGCACTTAAGACAGTTGAGGCAGGGAGGAAGCAGGAGTGCATTATGCCTTATTGATGAGCCGAGGTGGGACAGCAATGGGCTTAGGCTATATGAAGCCGATTAAAGAATCATAAACGTTAGTAGTTTGTTCTGTAGCTTAACTCTATTAAGCACTTTATTAATATTTCTTAAAGCAGGTACCGTCTCCAAGGCTTCATCAATAAGGTTCCTCCCATCTCTCTAGTAAAATAAACTCTTTCAAATAAAACCATTACCAGGACACACTCTTATCCGCCCGTTAAACCATCAGCAGCTAAAACAAATTTGCATGCAATTTTCTCTCATGAGGGAAATCACTTTTACACATTGTACAAGGATGTCTCAACCAAAAACAACAACCCGAAACTCTAAAAAAAAATAAACCCAAAAACGGAGTGGTTGCAGGTGTTTTTTTTTAGATTTAAGCACATTGTTGCAATTCAATTTATTTTCAATTTGCGCGCATGCAAGGATGGGACCTCTAAAGGGTAGGACATAGGGAGAGTTCAGAGGGCAAACTAAATCGGGAGGAGAAAATGGAGCACCTTTCATTAGACACAACATTATCAACAGCGCGATTTTTAGCAACGTTGCATACTTGGCGGAAAATTGCATGCTCTGTTTTTTCTCTTGTATTTTTTTTTTTTTGTTCTCCGTTGCTCCGTCGTCTTGGCGGCCGGCTCACGTTGCACTCACACACGCTTACACTTATTGCCGACACTGTATATAGATAGTAGTATGTAGGTACATAGAGCAGCGTTATTTACACGGCACGCACGCTTGCCGCTTCTCTTGTTGCTGTTGCAACGAAAATTGCACTTGCGACACTGACAACAACTGGCGACTGAAACTGCGACGGCGCACTCTCTTGCTTTTCCTGATAACAGGTTCGTTTCTCCCCAGCTTGTCCCTCTTCTTTTCACACTTTCTCTGGGAGAAACTTGGAGATAGGGTCTCTTTCGCTCCCCTGCTTCTTGCCACACTTACAACACCGTCAGCCAACTCTATTTCCAGGGAAAAGGAGCAGACAACAACCGCACGCGAGCAACGTCGAACAGCAACTGATTTCGGATTGCGCTGGCCCTCAGGATTTTCTGTGCAGATGCAGGTTTCCATAGTGGCCATGTCTACGTACTTGCATCCACCGTCCTCCCTACCTGGCCGGTGGTGGATGCTGTGCCCACTGCGCATGTCCGGAGTCAGCATCAACAGGAGCGTAGTAAAGTCGTAGTAAATTGGATTCCATTTGCGATTCATTCACATCCTTACTCTCCTTACTCAAGCAGCTTTTATTTGTTGATCGTTTGTTTCTGTGCTTAAATTATAACTCTTTTTATTTTAATTTTAAAATGTATGTTTTGAACATTGTACAATAATTCCGACCATAAAAACATGACACTTGAAATGTTATGTTCATTCTTTCGATTATTAAGGAGTTAAATGTTTTTACATTTACTTACTTATATAGAAAACAAATACAAGTACTTCCTTATATAGAAAACAAAATATATATTAAAATCGGGCGATTTCAAAGAAGTAATGAATTTTTTACGCTTCCTACGGATATTTCTTACTTATTTACGGATATTTTCTTTTAATGGGTTTTTGGAACACTCGAAAGTATGCCACAAAACTATGTTATCCAAAATATATTCTTTTCTAAAAAGGGAACCGGGAATTTAGACGAGAATTGGACTATTTGTCACTTCTGACTTTCCTCGATGTTTCACTTGATGTTTTTTTTAAAACATCGTTGATTCTGCATCCCTATCGGAATAAAGATTATTTCCTCTATGCTAAATTTTTATGCGGTAAAATTTAGCAGATAAATTGTTTCCCAAAGAAATTAAAGTTTTTCTATAATTTTATTTTTTGTATGCTTGTTTATTTTATGTATAAATAAAGATTACTAGGAGAAATTACCAAAAATGAACACAACTATTTTGGCATTGCAAATTTTTTTTTATATTTTCTTTTTTGTTTAATTTATTTTAGGTGTATAAAGGAGTTACCATGGTTATTAATATTTTTTCATATTATATTTACTGTCGTTATCACTGCATTACTTAAGAAATGATTCAATGTACATATATTCACGCAATAAACAATTAAATATGACTAAATATTAACAACACCTTATACTTTTCAAATTAATCAACTTTTTTTTTTGTCAAGATTCTCAATATGAAAGTCCCCTCCGGATCACCTTTGACTTTTACGTCTCACTGCCACTTTCAACCTGGAGTTATCACAAACAAATTTATTCAATTTATTTAGTTTTGGATTTTAAATAAAGTAGCCTAACAGAAAGCCTAATTCAGATTGCAGTCGGATTACAAATTAAAACGGACATCCCATCTTGGTAAATATTTTTCGTTGTTACATTCAAATTATCTGCGGTACTTTTGACTTCCACCAACACTTAAACTAATTTTACAAAAAATAAATTCTCACATCCTAAAAATAGTCAGACTTTGCTGATTTCGCTAAATCTTATGGCTCTATCTGTGATAGTCTTTGAGACCCACGCCTTAATAGAGACAGACGGATTGGGCTACATCGACTCTGCTGTTAATGCTGATCAAGAATATATGTATATATACTTTATGGCGTCGGAGATGATTCGTTCTCTATGATACATAAATCATACAAATACAATATTTCCTTGTACCGGCTATACAAATTTCAATCTGAGAATAAATATAAAGTTAATGTATTTTCAGGAAGAAGCGCGGAGTTGAATTGCTAGAGGCGAATCTAGTTTCCGATATATTAATTCTCGTAGAGGACCAGAAATTCCCATGTCACCGATTCATGCTAGCGCGTGCCTCGGAGTTTTTTGAAAAATTGTTTCAAAGAGATGGCGTAGACGCAGGAGAAGTGCGTTTGGAGGAGACGACCCCCGAGGTGTTTTAAATAATCTTAAAATGTATTTACTCAGAGGACGAGGAACTTTTTAAGAACCTTGAATACAAAACAATCTTAAAAATTGTGCAAAACGCTAATATGTGGCTAATAAGTGACGTTGAAAGAATAGGCATTTATCACCTTAAAATTAAAGCAAAAGATTTGGACCCAGAAATATTAATAGAATTGTATGCAGAATTCTATCTTCTAAATAACCACGCTTTTATGAAAGACATTATTTATGTAAGTCTTCTGTCAATTGCAATGACTCGTCATTCAATTCTTGCCAGTATTAGATTTTTAAGTTTAATTTTTTACAGATGATGAAAAAAATTCTGAATTTTCAAGTACCTCTCATTAATTTGTTTCGACTTGAGTTAAACTGTTTCAAGGATTTCCTAAAAAGAAGTGAGGAAGTTTTGTTTGAAGGCCCCCGCTTTTCCATGGCAGAAAAGTGGATACAAAAAATACACCTACAGATAGATCCACTACTGAATTGATTTCTATATTAAGATTTATCGGCTTTAGTGAAATGAACATGCAACAATTTCACCACGGGCCGGCAAAATCAACGCTCTTGGCTGATGCCGACAAGGATGAAATATTGTCGGAAATCGTTAAGGAAACGAATGACGAACTGCTTAAGTTGAGAAGACAATTACAGTTACAATGCTTAAAGTTATTTTCTTTACAATAAATTGTCATAATTATAAAATGTAATGTATTAAAATGTATTAATATAAAATAATAAATTAAAAAAATGTTAAACATCCATTTTCCTGTATAAATTAACGGTTTTTATAAGAGTCTCTAAAGAGTTTATAACTCCAATAAAAGTGTTCCAATTTGACTGAATTTTTATTTTTAGGTGTAGATTGGCCATTGGAATAGTTTGGCATTAAAATATGTCCCAAAGACATTAACAAACTGCGCTACGAGATTTTCGTTTTGGGGGTGGGAGTGGACAGACGGACATGGCTATATCGACTGGGCTGTTGATGCTGATCAAGAAAGAATGTACTTAATGGGGTTGGAGACGATTCCTTCTCTATGTATAACCGGTATAAATACCAAAATTGGGTCATTTCCGATCGTTCACCCATATAGCGGCTAAAGGATGTAGTTGGATCCTTGAGAAATTTGGCATGTTGTATCGTTTTTCAAAAATAGAATCTGCCAAATAGAAAATGCCAACTCTCCAACGGTAAAACACCAAAGTTATGGTACATCTGAGCAATAAGTTATGTGGATGCTATAGGATATAGTTAGCCGATCCCGGCCGTCGATTTATACAGCGCGCAAAGAATAGAAGGGTGTGGTAATGTTTCAGTGGCTATAGCTTTAAAACTGAGAGACTAGCTCGCGTATCATCAAATTAGGAAGTGGTCCTGATCAAGAATATACATATATGTATACTTTATAGGTTCGAAGATGTCTCTGTCAAAAAAAATTATAATACCCTATGCAAGGGTATAAAAAGAACGTTGAGGTTGACGAACTCACAGAAGGACCGCACGAGATATTCTTATATCGACTTAAAAGTCGTCCCTGATTCGAAACATATCGGATATGTTATATTGACTTCGTTGCACATTAATGCCCTATAAAATTTAAAAGTCAATTATTAAGTCATACAAATCATACTCATTCATAACATGATTAAAATATCGATAAGTGACAGCTATGTATATAGGAAATCCTAGCAAGCTTTGAATTTTGTGTTATCCAACACTGACAACAATTCCTTTTACATTTGTGACAGCTATTCCTTAATCATTTCCTTTCTACAATTCTTTGCGGAAAACAAATTTGTATATTCCAGTAAATTGTATTTTAATTAATAATGTCTTTTACTAGCTTTGTCAAGCTTATGAGGGAATTGGCATACATGTTAACGGTGCCCCTGGGGCCTCACCAGGATTTTATATATGACGTACGCGTCCTGTGCAATGCGATCCAGACGCAGTTGTATCTGGACAACGCGACATTCAAGGACCATTTGGGTCAGTTGGATAAAACAGGTAAGCTACCTTTATTCAACAATCTGGATCATCCTAATCCATCACATATGTATGTACACCCTGATAAGAGCAGCTGCCCTTGTGGATGATCTGAATCTGGATATGCCGCTAAACTTTCAACTATTTCTGCCTGTCCGACTCCCAGTGCCTGTTACTGCGACCTATGATGATAAGAACAGGACAGTGCAGTTCACCAGGCCGGACTTTGAGCATCCGTTCTTCTTGGGCAATGCTGTGAATTACAAGCGCATGAACCTATTGCTTCAAAAGGAGATTGAAAGAGCGGTTGACAGGCTGGGATGTGTCTGTGGATACACCGGAGCTATTTACGATTTAAATTACACAGTCTGGTGTTATCAGAAGGTGCCTTTCATTCACCAACTAGTCGCTGTGGAACGGGGTCCATATCAACGTTGCATTCGCTTTGACTTCGTGTTGGCCTTGGAATTCGATGGGACGGATGTTCCACTGCCTCCGTGCTACGAAGCCTCTATTAGCCACCGATGGATCGCCTATGGCATGGTGCCGCCAAAAGGAAGTACTGGTATCCAAAGCTCTACGGAGTGGGCTGTCCTTGTTCCTAAATGGCAGTCGGCGGGTGCTGGTAACCGCCTGAGGGAGCTCAATACCATGATTCTCCTCCATCGACTACTGCGAGCCCAGCAATGCGACAGCTATGCCCTGCCTGTCGCCTTGAAGCTTGGTTTCTCCTTGACCACCGAGGAACGTGGCGAAAGCTACCAAGAGTTAGGCGTTGCCGACCTATTGATGTCGGTGAGAGATTATGTGCTGGTTTTTTTTGGTCGATTTTTTTGAAAATACTGCAAGGGTTAGGTATATCATTCAAGTAATTTATATTACTAAGATCACAAAGACTTATCTTAGATTAATAATGTAGAATTATGAGAAATTATGAGAATCATGTTTTCTCTCACATACTCTTTAGAGAAAAACACTGTTTTTTTAAAATGTAAAAAAAAGTACATTTTTTTTAAAACTATTTTAATTTTTTTTTTCTATTGAAACTATTGTTTATATATCTTATACCTCTTATATTTACAAATTTTAATCTAAATACGTATGAAAAATATATTTCAAAACTATTAAAATCAAAAAATGTCATTCGCAAAAACATGTATTTAAATTTGTGTTATTTTAACATTATTTGCGTTTTCCTCATCGTCCTTAGACTTTCGGCCATATGGTGTTTTGCAACTTCTGGGATATTTTTGGGAAACTTGCAGAGGGCGACAAAGATGCCAAAAGAAGTAAATTTTTGGAAGTCCGAAAGCAGCAGTTGCGTGCCAAGGGAATATTTTTTGTTCTGGTCGAGGCGATGCGAACAAATACGATCGACACGGAGTTTACATATGGACTCTTCCGGTACATCTACATCCCGCCGCCACCGATATGCTATTGGCAATCCGTGGAGGATTACATGACGAAAATGCCCATACTCGACAATCCATGTTTGCCAGAACGCCGCAGAAGCATTTGAAGTGGCATAATCGCAGTAAGCCTTCAAAAGTAAATTGACCAGAAGCGGTGCAGGCAGTGAGGCAGGCGTATTTCAGGACGTGGGTGGTGGGGCTGGTGGTCGATGGTTGGCGTTCTGTTGGCTGAAAAAAAACATAAAGAAAATAACCACGCTTCCCTTGTTGATTTTTGGAAATTTGAGCAGAACTGTAAATTGGTCGAGCAGTTTGTGGGAATCCTTTCCCCGGATTTCTGTTTGTTTTTGTTGCACTAAGACCCCTCCAACGTCTTAGTGTCTTCAAATCTGGGTAATTGTGCAACTTTAATGCCAAAAAATAAGTGGAGCTGTTGGTAACGAACACACACAGACAGACACACCCAAGCTTCGGCTCACACAGAAAAACACACAGCCAGAAACAGAGACAAAAGTTAATAAAAGCCAACTAAAAACTAAAGCCGAGTTGGCTACGTGTCCCTGTTTTGACTTGCCCTTTGCCCCATCTCCTGCTTTGTTTATATATTTATGTGTGAGTGAGTGTGTGTGTTTTTGGGGGGTACTGTGGGGGAGGTAAAAGTTAAATTGCAAATAGCTTGGGCCGGGCTTAACTCGGGGCGTGGCTGTTGGAGGCGGAGACAGTGTTGTCATATTTTTACTTTTGGCCAAATATCTGGCTTTCTGGCTTTATAATGAGAGCTATTTGTTAATATCTCTTTTAAAAAGCTTTACATTTAATACAATTATAAAATGTTTCTTATATTTTAAAAGCCTGGACTCGTAGGGTAAAAAATTACAAATCTACTTCCAAAAGCAATTAAAATCTTCAAATCAAATTTTAGTCATGTCGTGCGATTTTTAGAGCCGTTTTTACTATTAATATACTTTCCGTGTAATCCTCATATTTGTATTGATGTTTGGTTTATTTTTTCACTTTCCATCCATGTGTTGTTAAGGTACATTTTATGTTTTACGGATTCTTCACCTAATAAATAAAATTAAAAATAATATACTTTCCTACAGGCTTGTTCAAAAGCCCCAAAAAGTATGCCACAAAAGGTTAGGCAGCAATGTTAAAATTTTAAAAAGAATAGAAGGATCCTAATTTTGAAGATAAGAGTTAATACTACTCTACTAACTTACTCTGTTCCAGTCTGACTGGGACATTTGGTTCAATATTATGTAGGATTTATCGTACAAGTCCGCGCTAAAAAAGGCTAAAACGACATCATTTAAGGGCGGAGCAGTAGAATGAAGGCGACATGAAATTTTAGAAAAATTTGCTGTTATTGTTCGAGCAAAACAAAAGGGGTAAAAGGCTGGTGCAGATCCTGGAAAAAGGATGGTGTGGCATCGGATGGGTAAGCAAAAAGGTATGACTTCGGGGGAGTCGCATTAAACAGAAAGACACAAAAAAGTTTTAGTCAGTAGAGGAATTGGAGAGGCAGCCAAGGGGTCGGATGGGAATGGAGCATAAAGTTTTCCAGCGCTTTTGACATTTCATTGTTGTCAACTTTTAACTAGTTTTTTATGTAGTCATTATTTTAAAATGCAAATCGCCTACAACTGCCAGCCAAATACATGTACAACCCCTGGCTCCTCAGTGTTGTTTCAATTTAATCTTCTCTCCAAATCAAATGCCTTTAATATCATTGAGAACAGAGTATTTGTCATACTCGTCCATCCAGGGAGGCGACCAGACTTGCAGGATCCACCGGAGAGGTAATACTGTTAATACGCCGTCTGTACCTCGGTCTGGCAATCAGAAATCGAAGTGTTTATTGCATTTTTCTCTTATGGTTTGTTTAATTGCATTACCAGCTCCCATACCTTAATTTCTTATGAATTTAATTCCAATAAAAATAAACTAAAATCAACTTTCGAAGCAGAGGACGAAAATGAAATCATAACGAATTTTATCAGGCAAAAACGAGTGGAGGTCGTAAAAATACAGAAATAAGATTATTTGAGTTTTAGATTGAAAAAAAATGGATATGATTTTAAGAAGAAACAATTTCTTCTTCAGCATCAATCACGTTATTCTTCTAAAAAATATTCCAACTTAAATGAATTTCAAATTTAAATTCAAGAGCTTTCATCAACATTCTCTTTCTTTGTTGCCACAACTTCCCCTCACAAAGTAGTTTGGGGCAAGTGCACAAAAGAAAATCTCCCCAGCGTCAACTTTGCGATGTCTTCTGGTCAGGAGGACAGGATGAAAGTGCGGGGATGGCATCTTTAATCAAAAAATAATTATGAGCGACAAGGGAAGTGGGACGTGAGGGAGAGGGCGGGAAATTACGTTTGAATTATGACATGGTAGCGTAGCCCCTCCATGTTACCGAACCAAATCTGATGTGCAGCAAATGAGCTAAGTGAATGGGCGAAGTGAAATTCGAGAAAAATAGAGGGGCGTATAACAAGCAATAACAAGCACCGGGCCATGGTCATTTACGCAACAAACAGAATGCTGAAAACTGGACAGAAGCGCGGAGGACAACCGCAGCACCTCAAGTCGGCGATGAAGCTCCAACTGGAACCGGAGACCGGCAAAAGTTTATGTGAAAAACAGACAATTAATTTGTTTTGCAACGCCAAAGGGACACCAGGAAATAGGGGGGCGCATAGGACACAGGACACCCTGGGAGCGGAGGGACAAACAATTTCGTGCTCGTTGGCAAAGAAAATTTACGTGCCAAAGACAATTGGGAGATGCAAAGCGCTGGAGTTGGAGGGCAAACAGTCCAGACTGGCACAGAGAGAATGGTGGAAATGGTCAAACATTTTACGCTTTTTGTTTAATTAAAATTGCAACAGGCTATATAGACACAGCGTCCTTAAAGCGGCGGCAACAGGAGGATGGCAAGCCCGAACAACTGTTCTCCTCCGGCAAAGTCAGCGTTTTTCAATTAAGCTTGCATTTTATTTAATACACGGAAAGGGCTAAAAAGCACTACGACTAAAACGTTAGTTGCTGCCCTTTGCCGGATATTCCTTGTTTGTTTTCTACCATTTATCCCCTATTTGGCTTTTTCCTTCAACGTGAGAGCAGGGTTGGCTTTTGTTCCCCCTGGAAGCAAAACTAAACCTTTTAGGGCGGTTATTAAATTGAGCTTTAAGTGCCCAACTCCAGGCATCCAGAAACAATCCGCCATAACCCACGTTGTTACCTGTTCCCACCCGCTTACGTGTTGGCATATCAATTCACGTTACGGACCGAATAACTGCATGCATTCATTTGCGCCAAGGAATCCTGCTCACATCTAGCGGGAATATTGAGCGGGGTGGTGTCAACGTCCGCAGGGACGTCCGGATATGTCGACGGCTGGGATAGGGATGCGCTCCCATTGGCAATGGCATTACCAGAACCGTATAGTGTGTATCACGTTCCAGTCATTTGGTGGCTGCCACTTCATAATTCAATAAAACAATAAAAGCAAATCCTTACAAATTACAGCAATCAAATCATATGAGTGGCATGGATGGCAGTGGTGTCGAAAAATAAAGCTAACTAAAATAATATCAGTATCTTAAAATCTAATATCCACATGTATGTAGGTAAAAATAACAATACAATAACAACATTAGCCAACAATGTTTTATCTAGGAACCTAATTTTTTATTTACACCTTTTAAGATTATTTGAAAGTGGCTAAAGAGACAGCTCCAACGACCAAGCTCAGGGAATGGCTTGCCCCAAGCATATTTCCATAAATTGGTCACAATTTGCTATGCGCAGCAGCCGCGCAAACAGGAGTCCTGATCCCCCAGAAAGGACGACACATAAGCACTTGCTACGACATGGTGCCCGTGACAGAATAAGATGTGGGGGATTGGGACGAGATTCCCCAAAATTATGGCGCTGAAGGATAATCGTAGAGAAGCGAGTACATCCCAGTCCCACTTGCCAAACGGGAAAACGTGAGACACAATATGTACGTGACCAACTAGCTTTTATTTTACGGCGCAGTGTTTTATTTGTGGTACAACCGAATTCGTTCCTAAAGAATCGGTGCATAGATGAAATATGTTTCTTATTTTATAATAATATATATATGTATATATAGATCGCCCTACGACGAGCCGATCGTATATGCACATTTCTAGCCAGGAACTGAGCATTTACGATGTCGTTCTCGCGAGTGTTCCTTCCGACGGTCTTTCCACATTCTTGTACTTTGATGTGGTTTACCGACTCGGAAAGGTGGTCGTTTGGCGACTACAACTTGTATATAGCGTTCACATTCGGACCGTGCTGCACCATAGCGTCCTTGTGCACCTGGTACTGGATCTCGAGATTCCCGAGTGGTAGCATCTGCTTCATCTGTTTGCCAATGGAAAGAATAGCCTGGACATTGCGGGAGTCCTTAGTCCAAAGAGCTGGATAATAAAAATGAAATATAGTTGTAAAGAAAAAAATCAAATCCGACCAATACCCACATAACTTGTTGGCCTTATGGCGCACATTGATGACCACGCCGCAAATTTGTTCAGAGTAATCAAAACATTCACCAATGGTGCATAAAAGCTGAAAGATTAAGCTTTGAGAAGAGAGAAAATTATTGGCATATAAGATTTCCTACCAAATCGTGCCAAATCTTATCCATAAATGTCTTAGAAACTTTGTCCAAAAGCATCATCCAGCGACCACCCTCCTTATTGACGTCATCCTCCCACATGGGACTGGGAATAAGGAAAAAATAGAGGAAAGCCTGCCAAACTATGTCGGGAAAACTTACCGAACACCTTCTTTGAACACCATATAGTCATTATAAATCTTCAAGTCCGATGGTGGCTTGATGAAGTAGTACACACTGAAGAAATCCTCAACGGTATTGAAGCTCGTCACGTCGCTGAGCATGTCACTCCAGCTCTTGTGACGATCGTTCTCCCAATGCCACAGCGTCCAAGTGTGCTCCAATGGATGCTTTATGGACAGATCGTAATCAATGAGGCTTACCACTCGATTCAACGAGGGTTGAAGCTCCTGTTCCCCGGTGGCCACAAGATCCTCATCTCCATACTTGGCCAGATTCTGATCCCAGTCTGGATTCTTAACACACTGTAGCCATTCTATACGAATAATTCCAAGAATCCCAAAATATAAAGAAAAAACGTAAAATTCACTTAACTCACCAGAATCTTTTGGACGTTGACGCCCAACACCTTCGTAACCGGTGAATACCATTTTTGCTTTGTTGCTCCAAGTATCGAATTATTTATGTGGTTTTTATGTTAGTTTTCGTTCGATTTATTTTTATACAAAACTCCTTACAGTCAGAGTGGTGTATTGTTTCGTGCAAAGTATAATCAGTAATGAGGAAAACCTTACGTGGAAAGGGCAAGCTAGAAAATGACATTAGAGGAACAGCCATCTTTTTATATGAAAACAAGTGTTGGAAAGTGTGTCATACACTATTTAATAAATAGAATTTATCGATAAAGGTTTCATCGTTAATTGCGGCATTTTCTTTAATTAATGAAATAATCAATCAAAACTTCATGGAAAATTGAATCTATTTTTTATCTACTCGTATATGGGAACTCCCAATCGCACATTTTATCTGAAAAATCGAATTAAATCACTTGGGCACGGCCACGAGAGTCTATCAATTGAAATGTCACGCTAATAAAATAAAATGCCACCGAGCATACGATAAATGCACGAAAATAATAAAATGTGACTCAAATGAGCGACGGCGACAGCTGCCGCAGCACAGACTCAGGGCCCAGGACTCAGGACTCAAGCTGGAAGAAGGATAGGATGAGAGTCCTCCCCCTGTCTGGCTTCCAGCTTTCGACTGCTTGTGCCTTGTGTTCTCCTCGTGCAACAGTTTGGCCTGCAGTCAATAATCGAAATCGACTTGGGCTTGTGGCAATAAAAATTTGTCTTCGCCGGTTAAGTTGTGCGCCTTGTTGCACACGATCCTGTGGAAGACTCCCCTCATCGTCCTCCTCTTACTGATAATAAAATATGTGAGTCGCTACGTGGCAGCTCCTTTGGCGTTGGTAAAGTGGCTTTGGGACCCTTGTAATGTGCACCATTTGTTGCACGGCTGGTGGTGCGGTGGAACAGTGGCTCTTGGCTTCGGCTACGCCGCCAAAGAAGACACATCCTGGCATCTCCTGCTGCTCGTGTGAATTATGTTGGCCAAGTTTTCGGAACAAAAGTGTTGGCACTGTTACTGGTTTTGGGGTGTCTCTCCTCCTTACTTTGGAAACTTGTTTTCAGCTCCCATTTACTTAAAAATTCTATTTATTTTTGGTCTTAAGTAGTTCTTGCCGCGGGTTCAGTTGGTAAATCGTGTGCACTTTCAGACAGACCAGAACTATCCATATTTTAGCCTAATTGGTGGAATAATTTCTGGCACCAAATGGAGTAACTTAATGCAATGATGGAATATGCATTTCAGAGGCAAAAACTTTTATTTAAGCTCCTAGATAAGGTATGGTTTGTTGGATTTGACTTTCTGGAGAACTTCTCAGGTGGCACCTTGGCGTAAACGCAATATTTTACAGCTTTTTGCACTTTGCTGGCTGAGCTGAAAATACATGGTCAGTAAATCTTTTAAAATATTGTAATGTTTAGTGGGGGAAAGGCGGGTGCTGGAATGGGCGAGCTCACTAGCAGCTTAAGCGCTTTAAGTGCCGAGCAGTAAAGACGGCCACAAAAAAGTGGGCAGGGGCAAAAACGCGTAAATAGAGAGAAGGTTACAAGGACCCAAGGAGCCAAGCTCCAGGACCCCGTCTTGAGGCAGCTCAGTGCAGACAAGCGCTGGCAAGAAATGAAAATGATTTGAGGCATTATGTTGGCTCCGCTTTTCCTACACTTTTCCCCAGCTTTTCCTTCCGTTCTGTAGCCTGTCTTGATTCCATCCTTTTTTTCTTTTTTGGCTACAAAATTGCTTTGCTCCTCCTTCATGTTCATTGTAAAAGATTTCAGCGCAGAGAGCACAAAGCATGCGATGATGTACGGAACGACGCACGTCGTACATTTTGCACCTTGAAGTGGCAAGCAGGTGGAAGCCAAATGGGTGGCGAAACTTCAGGAAGAGACAGCCACATAAAACAATAAAAAGCAACGGTAAATGCCAAGGATGGGTAGCGACAACACATCCTGCAGCACCTTGAGGCCAACCCAACTGACACAGGCTTCCGGCACATCTCGGCGCCCTCTGCCCCGCCACCCGTTTCACCAGGAGGACCTGTCCAAGGCGTACATGGCAAAATGTATCTATACTATAAAGTTCATCATTTCAGGTAATATTAGTTTTTTTTTATTTAAATAATTATTCATTACTTTTTTTTAAATAATTAAATTTAAAAACTATTTACAGATTACATAGCCATATGAAACAATAGTTTAAAAAGCTATTATCCTGGTCATTACTGTTCGTATATGTACTTGTTTATGGTGCTAAATGCTTTGGACCATGCTGCCCCTGGGCGATGGCTACCCGAACTAGAAGCTGGAGCTATAGCTCTGGTCCTGGGGGCAGGTGAAAGTCATTTCACGCTGTGTGTAGCGCAAAAGATTAAAATAATAGCTGCGCGTAAATTAAACAGCCCGTTGGAGCCGAAGAATGCACTGAAAACAATCTACTTAGATGTCTAGATTATAGAAAAATTCGCTTAATTTTGTAATTCAAAATATTCCCTAAATTTGGCATAATTAACGACAAATCTTACCTTATATTAATAATCTTAATTTTACCTTACCTTATAATTTTCAATAAAGTGAACATATTGTAAGTTTTAGATGCCAGTGGAGAAGTGGCATGGGGAAAAGGTAAAGTAGACAGAGAGCCATTGAAGTGGCAGCCATCGAGAAACAGGACCTGCCACAATGCTTCTCCGCCCCTTCGCAACCATATCCTTTTGTTTAGGGCTGCGGTCTGCGCTAAGACGCTTACCAGATACACCTCTTCCCCTCCCCACTCCTCACTGAGCCCTGTACCCCACTCAACGCACCTGAGAGTTGACGTTCGGAGGCTGCCAGGACATTGCTAGCATTGCGTTGTCAGCACTTCATTTTGATCCAGCATGCCGCGTGCTTCACTTAATGCGACGACTGCCAGGAGCCGGGCATTTGTGGGGCAGTCCTGCCGGGGCGCGGCTTGGTATGTGGGTGGGGAATTGAGGGAAAAGAGAGTTTGCTTCTTCATCATGCACATAACTACAAAGGCAGCTGCATTTCTTTGGCGAACACAAAAAAAATCAAGGCCCAGGTGACTAAAAGGTACGATTTTTATTCGTTTATTAGATGGAACGTACGTTAGTTTTTAAGATTTTCTCTAATTTTCTCTTTTCTTTAATAAATGGGTTTGAAAAAGAACGGAAAAACTATACAAAATGTGAGATAAGTTTATAATATACACAAAATTAATAAAATAGTCTTTATGTCATTCATCCAAAAATAGTAAAAAATGCAATAAAATTTATTGAAATGTTTTAATGAAATTAAAATGTCTAACAGTATTTAGTATTGTGCTTTGAACACTATATTTAATTTTTTTTTTACAATTTATAGTTTATTTTTTTATGTTTTGACTTATTGTTTGACACATTTTGTCGCCTGGAAATTGTTGTGCATTACACGTCACGAATGCGTGCGTATTATGCTCTCTGCAACGAGTATCCTGCCAATGCGAGCGGTAAGGGGGTGGGGTAGGAGGCGGGGATACAGTGATGGTTCGTTGGGCTGCTACCTTTGCTGAGTGTTTTGTGGCTTGTCTTCTTCGCCTGTCTATCCTTTGCTGCACTCTCGTCCCATAGCCCCACCATCTCGTTCCCAATGGGGTCCTTTCAAGCCGAAGCTTGCTTAATGCTTTATGCTTGCCGGCTTTCAGCTCTTTGTTCATGTTTTCGCCGTTGTTCGTGTTCCTCGTATTGTTGTTGCTCCGGCAAGGTACTTTGCTTTTGTTCGATGAAACGTAAAAATAGCAACAAGCAACGAAAACTCATTTTTAGACAATGCCGCATAATTCCAAAGCAAGGAGAAAGCGCAACAACAAGCAGCAGGACAGCAACTGCCGGAGCATAAGATCCCAACGACTTTTTGTTGTAATGAGGTATTTCCGCATTGTTGTTCCATCTCCTTCCTTCTCACTTGGATGCTTTGCATCATATTCCCTCCTAGAGATGTGAAATAAGGATTTCCATGAAATCATTAGTTTCATTTTAATTGGGAAAAATGAAAAATAAGAAAAATTATGAGATCTAGTTGTGGGTTATACATAAGTGTTTCATAGTTTTTATTTTATATTAATTATACATCTTATTTAGGCCAAATGTTAATTTTTGGTAGCATTTTAAAGCTTACTCTTACTATTTACCATCCCTAATTTTCACCCCTAGCCCACTGCTTTCACCTGTTTACATTCCGCTGGCTTTGCCGTTCAAAAGCAACCGCAAGAAGTTCCTTACGCGCTGTCAGTTTGTGTAATGAAAGTGGATGCTGCCTCCCCCAAGCCTCGACCTAACTCCTGCGAGTATTCAAGCGCAAAATTTTCCGTAATCTGCCGGCGGACAGCTTACAAGCATATGCAGAAACTTTTCGTTTTCGGACCCCAGGAAGCACGCACTGCTTAAACTTTGAACCCTTAACCCTTCCATGTTTGCTCTTTCCACCAATGGACACACACCCTTATACCAACATATATGGAAAGAAGTAACGGAAGCCTGTTGCTTTCTCCAATGGCAATTTTTGTTTTTGTTGCTGGTCATTTACGGCCATTTAGACGCATTTAAGAAAGTCAACAATAAAGTCAAACAGTCGGAACGCTCCTACCCTTCAGCAAATTGAGGTTTATTTTGGGAGAAACAGTTTTACCAAACCACCAAATTTCCAATAATTAAATAAGTTTTTCTTTCAAACATTCCCCTAAACTTTACTCATTTACTTTTAAATAAGACTTGTTTGGTTAAGATTACTCTAAAAGTCATTTAATCAAGCCAAAGTTCCTAAAACAATATAACAAAATGAGTGGAAATTTTTTATAATATATTATTATTTAACTCATATAAGTTCATGTGTATAGAAAAACATCATCTCTATAATAGCTTCCAAGTGTATCCCTGACCTAAATTCATTAACTAATGCTGTTCTCAAATCATAGAATTCAGGACGAAATCTCTTCACTAAAGTGCTCACAGCCGAGCACTTCATATGCCATTTAATAATGATTAAGTACATGATACCAATGAGTGGGGAGTGAAAGATTGAGGCTAAAGGACTCGTTCGTCGAGTAAATGGAGCGACTTATTCGAATGTCATCAGAATCATCATCGTCATCACGGAACGGGCCTCGTGACTGTTGACGCATTTTGGTTTCAGGCCTCATTAGCGCCAGGAGCTGCCAGGCTGAGCTGAGCGGCCAAGTCAAGTAACCCCGAGACGACGAGGGGCTCTCAAATTGTGTCAGCATCAGGTGTCAATTTTAATTTACTGCCTCGTGCCCCGGATGTCATCTCCGATGTTTGTTTGCCTTGGGTGGGTGGGGGCTGTGGATGGTTGTGGGTTGTGGTGTCAATGGAGGCGGAATGTTAACCCATATTTTGGTGACTTGCGGCTTCTGCGGTAATTTCGGTTTACTTTAAATACAAGGATATCCGAAACTCATTGAAGCCGACGGCTCGAGCCAAACAATATCATGGCAAATGAAAGGGGCTTTCAGCCAGCTTTATTGATATTCAGGCCCAATCCGCAACCTCGACACACAGCAATAATGGTCACAAAGAGCATTTGCTAATGGAGCCGTTTAAATATGCGATATGAGGTAGATCCACGCATGTTAATCCAGAAAATTGGGGAATTCTAAAAGAATGCTATGAAAACATAAATTAATATATCATTCTCTACACCCCGACAACTGTGACCAAAAACATCTTCGGTTAACATTTTTTTAATTTTTGATTCTGATTTCGGCATTTAGGAAATCTATGTATTTGGTCACACTTTTCTTCTTTTGTTAAATCGACTTTCCAACAGCCTGAAGTTCATTTCAGTTGGAGTAGACTGCTCCGACCGAAAGCATCTTGGGTCTTTCTTTCTTTCTTTTTATTTTTTATTTTTTTGTTATTTTTTTTGGCTTTAATTAGAATTTGTTTTTATTTTCATGAAATTATTGGGGATAATCCCGGCATGTATCTTGGCCATGGTGTCCTTGAGAGCAACGCTTGGATCTTTCTTTTAAATTAATTTTAAAATATTTTGTTTTTTCTCATATTTATTAAATTATTTATTTTCAATGGATATTCGTCAGCTTGAGCCCACGAAAAGTTTGCTTGGGTTTTTTCCATTCTTATTTTCTTATCCTTTCTAAATAATTGCTTCGAATTATTACTTCATTTATTTATTAAATTATTTAATTTCAATGGACTAGTCGTCAGCTTGAGCCCACGAAAAGTTTGCTTGTGTTTTTTTTTTCATTCTTATTTTCTGATCTTTCCAAATGATTACGTCGATATTACTGAATTTGTGCTAAAATATATGGCGGCTTCGAATCCTTGAGACCAACGCTTGGATCTTTCTATTAAATTATTTTTTAAATATTTTGTTTTTTCTCATATTTATTTAATTATTTAATTTCACTGGACTAGTCGTCAGCTTGAGCCCACGAAAAGTTTGCTTGGGTTTTTTCCATTCTTATTTTCTTATCCTTTCTAAATAATTGCTTCGAAGTATTACTTCTTTTATTTATTAAATTATTTAATTTCAATGGACTAGTCGTCAGCTTGAGCCCACGAAAAGTTTGCTTGTGTTTTTTTTTTCATTCTTATTTTCTGATCTTTCCAAATGATTACGTCGATATTACTGAATGTGTGCTTAAATAGATGGCGGCTTCGAATCCTTGAGACCAACGCTTGAATCTTTCATTTAAATTATTTTTAAAATATTTTTTTGCTCATATTTATTAAATTATTTAATTTCAATGGATTAGTCGTCAGCTTGAGCCCACGAAAAGTTTGCTTGGGTTTTTTCCATTCTTATTTTCTTATCCTTTCTAAATAATTGCTTCGAAGTATTACTTCTTTTATTTATTAAATTATTTAATTTCAATGGACTAGTCGTCAGCTTGAGCCCACGAAAAGTTTGCTTGTGTTTTTTTTTTCATTCTTATTTTCTGATCTTTCCAAATGATTACGTCGATATTACTGAATGTGTGCTTAAATAGATGGCGGCTTCGAATCCTTGAGACCAACGCTTGAATCTTTCATTTAAATTATTTTTAAAATATTTTTTTTGCTCATATTTATTAAATTATTTAATTTCAATGGATTAGTCGTCAGCTTGAGCCCACGAAAAGTTTGCTTGGGTTTTTTCCATTCTTATTTTCTTATCCTTTCTAAATAATTGCTTCGAAGTATTACTTCTTTTATTTATTAAATTATTTAATTTCAATGGACAGCTTGAGCCCACGAAAAGTTTGCTAGTGTTTTTTTTTTCATTCTTATTTTCTGATCTTTCCAAATGATTACGTCGATATTACTGAATGTGTGCTTAAATAGATGGCGGCTTCGAATCCTTGAGACCAACGCTTGAATCTTTCATTTAAATTATTTTTAAAATATTTTTTTGCTCATATTTATTAAATTATTTAATTTCAATGGATTAGTCGTCAGCTTGAGCCCACGAAAAGTTTGCTTGGGTTTTTTCCATTCTTATTTTCTTATCCTTTCTAAATAATTGCTTCGAAGTATTACTTCTTTTATTTATTAAATTATTTAATTTCAATGGACTAGTCGTCAGCTTGAGCCCACGAAAAGTTTGCTTGTGTTTTTTTTTTCATTCTTATTTTCTGATCTTTCCAAATGATTACGTCGATATTACTGAATGTGTGCTTAAATAGATGGCGGCTTCGAATCCTTGAGACCAACGCTTGAATCTTTCATTTAAATTATTTTTAAAATATTTTTTTTGCTCATATTTATTAAATTATTTAATTTCAATGGATTAGTCGTCAGCTTGAGCCCACGAAAAGTTTGCTTGGGTTTTTTCCATTCTTATTTTCTTATCCTTTCTAAATAATTGCTTCGAAGTATTACCTCTTTTATTTATTAAATTATTTAATTTCAATGGATTAGTCGTCAGCTTGAGCCCACGAAAAGTTTGCTTGGGTTTTTTTCCATTCTTATTTTCTGATCTTTCCAAATGATTACGTCGATGTTACTGAATTTGTGTTACAATATATAGCGGCTTCGAATCCTTGAGACCAACGCTCGGATCTTTCTTTTAAATTATTTTAAAAATATTTTTTTGCTCATATCTATTAAATTATCTTATTTCAATAGATTATTCGTCAGTTTGGGTCCACGAAAAGTGGAATATCTTTTTCTTAAAATTTAAAAAAAATTGTATATAATTTTATAAATTTATTGTTTTTTATTTTGATTTACCCGAAAAGGTTGGAACTTTGAGTTAACGGAGTGGAAGTCTGACCGAAAGTATCATGGGTACTTTTTTTCTTGTATTTATTTTGCTTTTAATTTTAATGGATTAGTCGTCAGTTTGTGGCCAGGAAAAGTGCTATTGGAGTCTTTTTTCCAATCTTAATTTTTTTATCCTTTCGAAATTACTAATAAGCCGTTCTTGACTTTGAGTTTGAAATACTGGCGCCTTGAATCACAAAGAACAACTCTTGAGTCCTCGGATCAAGAGTCTTGAGAATCTTGATCTTCTCTGTAATCTGTCTTATTTATAATCGTAATTTTTTGTATATGGTGCTCATTGTATATCGGCTATTCCGGCGGATGGTCAACCAGGACCGAAAAAATAAATGTCCATATTCCTCGATTCTTTTTTTGTATTTTCATAAATAAAAATATCCAAATTTTCAAACATATTGGATTCATAACATATCTCAGCTTTTTTTAAAAAAAAAAGCGCGAAAAGTAAGAAAATTTAGTTTTTGCCTTTTTTACTTTTAAAGACATTTTAATGTTTATTTATTTCTCAAGGAAAACATATGATGTGTTTGCTCTTTTTGTACTAAATCTCTTAATAACAATCTTATAATTGTATCATGAGTAAAAGTATCAATGAGAACTAGTTTCCATATTTGTTCAAGCTTTGTTGTGTTGCTGATTTGAGATTTATTTTGAATCTTTTCACTTCTTTTTGGTTTTGGCTGTGTTTCTAAATAACACTAAACTTACGAAACTGTATGTATATTTATCTTTTAATTTTTAAAAGCCCATTTGGTTTTTTTTTTTGTGTTTTTTTTTTTGTTAAAAAATACTCATTGAAATGAGTAAAAAAAAAAATACAAATGTTAAAATACTCATTGTTGGATATAAATCGGACATTTAATTAGATAATTTACTAGTTGAAATGATTTTATCTGTACCAAAAATATTCTTACCCAAGTGTTTTTGTTTAAAAATGATTAAAGGATCTCAATAAAAGCATTAGGATTTGTTTGTTTTAAATTTTTAATTCATATGAAAAATCACAAGCTGGGGGTGAAGGAAAATAACTGCCAAACCATGGTTCAAGCACATGGAGCAATATTTTCCATTGAGTTCAGAGTCCATTGATTTACTTCTTCAGCAGAAGGGGAGCGGCAGCGGCGGCAACGTACGGACGGGCAACGTACGGCGCACTGTAGGCCAAGGGGGAGGTGTATGCGGCAGCATAGGGGGCGGCAAGTCGGGCTACCGGAGCGGTGTAGGCGGCAGCAACTGGGGCGGTGTAGGCAGCGGCAATGGGAGTTGCGATGGGAGCGGTATAGGCGGCAGCGGCAATGGGAGCGGTGTAGGCGGCGGGGAAGGCGGCGCTGTGGGCTACCGTGTGAGCGGTGTAACTGGAGGCGTAGGGAGCCACGTAAGCGGCACTGCCGACCACAGCGGGGGCGGTGTAGGCCAGAGGAGCAACGATTCCGGGCTTGGCAGCAGCCACAGCCACAACAGCGAAGAAGATAGCAGCCTGAATTTTTTAAAGATAATTTTTAGAAAAAACTTTTGAAATTTTAATATTTTTTGAAAACTTACGAATTTGAACATGTTGTTTTTTTTTGGGATTGTCACTTGGTGGATGGCCAATTGGTCTGTGATGTTCAGCTGAGATCGCCTCGGCGCTTTTATAGCCACTTACACTTTCGGCCAGCCGGGCTAGCCCATTAGCCAGGCCGATCACGCTCGTAGTTTTAGCCATCGATGGCTGCCAAGTCAACGACTGGCGATTGACGTTGCGCATGCGCAATTCTTGGCCGGATCGTTGGATTCGTTCATTATTTTGCTGGTCTAGACCCGACCATGTCTTATTTTAGTGCGTGCCTGAGCGTCCGTTACTCCGAATTCGAGCGTCCCGACTTTTTTTTCGATTTGGCCCTGACCTTGGCGGCTGCAATGCGTTTACAATTTAATCGGGCTAGCGGGTTTAACCGCTACCGAACGGCAGCTAAAGTCACTTAACTGCAGAATTTATGGTATATACACTTTTGGAACCCTTCACAGTTCGCTCAACAGGAAACAGCCGGCTTATTCCAGCCCATTACGGCCTGCCTATTTTAATGGCCCAGAATAATGCCGAGCTAATCACAGTCTAATAATTATAATCCTCTCTTGTAGCTGGCAAAAATTAATTAATAAATGTCGCAAATTGCAGCCAAAGAGCTTAAAACTCACTAATTAGAAATATCGAGTGCAGGTCTCTGTGTGTGTAATAGCACCCATTATGGGGATGCACCATTGCACCCACTTTCCGAAGGAATCACATACAGAGGACGTAATACGTATGTTATGTTTCATTCCTGCTCTGGAAGTCTCACACTCGAAAAAGTGTTGAAGCGTGAATTTTGCTTAAAAATGCCAATTACGCGATTTCAGCAATGCAATGGATTGGGAGGTGGTGTGGCAAGAAAAGCAATGCAATGCAGAAGGGAAGGAATCCGTACTCAAAGGGGTGGTAGCTTGAACGGGGTTGTGGCTTGGCACAAAAAAAAAAAATTAGGTATTTTCAAGAGGTTAGTCATTTTAGTAAGAAAATAAATCTTAAGAAAAATCATAAAATCATCAATAAATTAGGGGTTATATAATTGGTATTTTTCTTTTTTAATTTTGGCTAATCTTATTTAAGACAAAATTGTTTCAAAAATTCATTTAAAAAAAGAAGCCTTAAAAATCACTTAAATTTGTAATACATTTTTAAAACCACAAACTATATACATTATCTAGATAATACAGGTATTTTTTGGGATGTGACAGCAATTGTTGCAAGTGTCTCTGACTGCTTGTTTCTGCCACTTTTGACGATGATGTTGCTGGCGAAGGATTTGGCGCTCATCCTGCTCCTTCCTTCGCCGCTTTTGTGTGGCTCAAGTGTTTGCCATGTGCCTGTGCATACGAGCCAGCCTATTGCCAATGTCCTGGGCTCCTTTGTGGATCTGGGGTCCTACTAAATGCACAATCATGCAGCCGGCATAAGGCCTCGAATTGAAAACTGCTGCGACAACCGCAGGCGGCAAACATATTTGTTTTGACACTTGACTTGGTCTGCTCCTCCCACTTTGGCTTTCATTGTCAAGTTTGTGGCAAGGACTTGCTACTGAAATTATTATATTGGTTAATCCGCCTAAAAGCTTTGATGGCACTTTCACTTCCCCTGGCAAACTGCCGCCTGTCCTGGCCCTGCCCATGATTCCTCTTTTAGCCATTTCAAGTGCAGCGCCCGCAACTCTCAAGTGGCCAGAACTGGGAGCAGGAAGCGTATCAAAGAGCAATCCCCTGGGACCCAAGGGTGGAGGTATCCATGAGTGCCGGCAAGTAATTAAAAAGCAAGAAATTTCCACAAAAAGCCGCTCACAAAAATTCCCTTCGTTTGACGAGGACAAAATTCAGGACGAGGACTTTGGAACCACCCGAATTAAGATTCTATCGACTTTATGACATCTCTTAATGATTATAAAAATAGTGAAATAAAATACAGTTATGTATATATTTGCAAAATTATAATATTTATTTGGAAATTAAATATTAATATGTTTTGTCAATTTTTAAATTGATTTATAAAAACTCTCTAATAATTTAAAGGTTACAGGGTAACTCGAAGGAACTTGGAACAAGTTGCGTGAAATATTCGCAGCACTTTTCCGTTTTTTGCGCCACCCGATCCAGAGTCCCTCCCAAGTTGAGTTTATTGCCATAATAAAGGCACAACTGCCTCTGACTTGGCCGGGGTTATGTCTGCATCTGGACCCTGATCCTTACTAGCAGAAGCAGTGTCGGGGCAGGACGTAGCAGCAGCTGTGCGTGCGCGTTAATGCGTCGTTTAAGTGCCGTAAAAAGCGAACGGCACACATGAAGCACCCACACCTTCGACCCCACCTTCAAGTAAGCCTAATCCGTATCCATATTCGTGTGCCAACCCCAAGTCAAAGGAAGTCTATTAAAAATTTCTGCCTTCTGTGTTCTGTTTGGAATTTGTCTATGGAAGTCCCGGCGACATTTGCAAGCTTAAGAGTCTGAGGGAGTGTGGCCTTTAAGTGGTTTCCACAAATTATTCATGGGAACAAAATCGTGATGGTGGCCCACCCCAAAAAGGCTTGAACGCAAAACTTTCCAGGGGTTTCATGAATTCCTTTAATATTAGACTTTGCAAACTTGAATCATTTATTAAATGCTAAAACCAAACAACACAATCGGTTCATATTAAGCCAATATTTTGTAATCTATTTTAAGGATATAAGCTAAGTAGGAGGATAATCATTATATATTGGGGACTTTCTGGTCTCAATTTAATTTGAAGTACTTTATCAATGGAATCCTGTAAGGCAGGAATGTAAGTCTTCCGCCATTTCCTCGGATATTCCTTCAATCATAATTGGTTTAAGGCCTTTGTTCCGCCTTGCGAGCTGACGCATTTCAATTACCCAGACCCCTGGTTGCAAAGTCAAATCGAATTAAGCCCGGCACGTGCCAAGTGTGCGTGTGCAGCCACAATGGATCGAAGCCATCCGAACCGACTGGGATCGGATTGTTTTGGCCCACTAAACTGGGACGGAGTCAAAGTCTTTGGGCCGCCAGCGATGTCAGTTGCATGTGTAAGTGCGACCTTCGCCGGGTTTCCAAGTGCCTGCTATATAAGCGGCCCAGCCCGATCAGCTCAACATCAAATCAAGCTCACAGCTTCAAGTAGTTACAACTACCCAACCATCCAAAACAAAAACCAACCCATCAACATGAAATTCGTAAGTGCTCCGAGGATTTTCAACTGCCGCAGGATTTTTAACAAAATTCGATCCTCGATTTCAGTTCGCCGTCTGCTTCTTCGCTGTTGTGGCTGTGGCTGCTGCCAAGCCTGGAATTGTGGCTCCTCTGGCGGCTGCTCCTCTGGCCTACACTGCCCCGGCTGTGGTCGGCAGTGCCGCTTACGTGGCTCCCTACGCCTCCAGCTACACGGCTAACACCGTGGCCCACAGCGCTGCCTTCCCCGCCGCCTACACCGCTCCCATTGCCGCTGCCGCGTACACCGCTCCCATTGCCACTGCCGCCTACACCGCTCCAGTCGCCGCCGCCTACACCGCCCCTCTCGCTGCCGCCTACACCTCCCCAGTCGCCGCCGCCTACACCGCCCCTGTGGCCGCCGCCTACTCCGCTCCCATTGCTGCCCCAGTTGCCGCTGCCTACACCGCCCCAATTGCCCGCTACGCTGCTGCCCCGATTGCCGCTCCTGTGGCAGCCGCCTACACTGCTCCCATCGCAGCTGCTGCTGCCCCTGTCCTCCTGAAGAAGTAAGCACTCCTTCTTGCAAATTAATCCTCTTGACCAACTTGTGTAAATAAAAAATTGTACATACCAAACGAAACAAAAGAATTTTTAAAGGAAAAGAAAAAAGCACTAAAAGAAATTGAATATTTGGGAGTCAAGATCTTATTCAATAGATAGTTAATCAATAAGCCAAAAAATAGAACTCTAGAACGTTGAACAAGGGTCAGGGTTTTAAATTTTTAAAGACATTCCCAATTTTGTGCAGGTTAGTATTTTCTTTTTTTTATAAAACCCATATACCCATATATTAAATTTCCATATACTTAAAATGAATATTATTAAAAGAAATTATATAAACGTGCCTAACAATGGAATTAATTTTATTAAACTTTAGTACTAAAGTGAAACTTTAGTAAAGTTTTTTAATATTTTTAACAGTGCTTCTCAGCAAACAATCTTCCGAGTTGCTCCAACAAAATGAACTCCTTTCACTTTGAGCGTTGCAGGGGAGCAATTTGTAGTCTGCATTTTCCACTCGGGTCGGTTCTACGTAGTTTTTATCGAAAGCCCGGCATCTGGAATCCCCCTGTTCCCGATTTGTTCCCCCATCCAGAAATTGGCACCTAGGCAGCCAGTTTGCGCTTTGCCTTGGCTTGGATTAAACTTTCCATTTAAAAGGATTTCTTTTCTATATGAAATATGCTTCCTTTCAGCGCTTCCTACGCTATCCCCTTCCCTTTTATCCATTTATATTTTTTTCAGATTTTTCTAGCGTCCGCAGCCAGCGGCAGCAGTCAAGTTTTCAGCTTGACTTTGTCCTGCGCGTTGAAAAGCCCGAGTGGAGCCTTCTTCGGGCCCTGCGGTGGTATCCTGCTGCTCCTTATCATAACTTTGGCATCGCGGCGCGTCCTGCTCCGCTTTTCGTCTTAGCCCTCAGGTAAGCGCCAAGTAGTTGTAAAGTTTCCTACCTAAGCGGAAGAGGCTAGTAAAACCCCACAAGAAGGAATGGTAAGCTCTGGCTGTTCCATTTTCACAAGTTCTCGCAACAGATAGCGTCCAAATTTAATGACCTTTTATTCAATAACACTGCTCTGAACTGCGCGAAGTTTGTGCCTTTCCATGCTAAGTATTACTTGTTGACGCGCTATCGGGCTTGTCATCCTCTTTTTTTATTTTTCTGGCTGGCCAAAAAGTTGTCAAAAGTTTGGCCAAATATGATAAGCAGGATGACCAAGCCAAGTGAAAGGATTCTGTCATTTAAATGAGACAAAGTTTGGGGCAAGCAAATTAAGCAAATTATGTCCCTCTTTAAAAATCTTTAATTTTCTCACTAACAACTATTGAACTCCAGTCAAAAACCCACATCCCTCGTTAACTATTTTTTTGGGCTATGAAATAGAGTAATTTTACAGTTCGTTAGGTCCGTGGAAAAAGTCAAAGTGTTTCTATTTTGATTGCCAGCGCTGTGGCAATAACGATTGGCAACCAATGTTTGTCTGGCAACCGGCGAGGCAATAAAACCAAGCAAATGAAATTTGTATTCACTTTATATAATTTTGACGATTTTTCAAATCAACCACACACTCTCCCACGAAACCTTACTGCCATGCCAAACCATACCATAGGGTAGTGTAGTATAGTATGTGAGAGAGTGCTTCGTACATATGTTAGAAAGATTCCCTTTTTCCAAACGAAACACAATCATGTGCAAACGTGTTTTTCAAATGGATTACATGAATAAAAGATTTATACACGTAAGGTAAATCAGTAGCGGGTTACCAAGATGCCCACAGACATCAGGGATCTGCCCCAGAGTCCCTCAGCCTCTCAGACCAGCCCCTCCATCTCCATCGCCTCCGGTAACCCCCTATTCCCAGCTGAAGACGTGCAAGTGAAAATATGCGCAGATGTAAGCAAATTTGAGGAACGAGGAAAAAGAAGCAAGAAAAACCCAAATGGAAATGGAAAATCCCACAGAAAATCTACCTGTAGGTAGATGATGCTTTTGCCATTTATTGATCTGTTTATCATTTTATGTATTTATGCGGCCGAGTGTTGCCGCTTTGATTTCAGGCGCCAAATCGAATCAAGCTCGAGAGAAAATAAAACATTTCGAACTGGATTATTCTGGGCATACATAAACACAAATATAAACAGTGATTGTATTAAAAATAATCCACTTAGGGTAAGAGCATGATTTTAACATGTTTTTTGTTAAATTTGTAATAATTATTTTTAGTAACGATTTTCAAATAAAACTTACCTTTAAGGAAATCTTAATACTTTCAAAATCCATTGTTCCAATCCAATACCATTGTTTAATTTTCATATGACGAGTCACAACAGCCTTTTGTGGCGGAACACACCGAAAGTTCAATCGAAGTTTACATCTACATATTTCCCATTGGATCCTTACCCCTTCGAGTTTCAAATAGTTACGAAAATCTAGTACCTTACATATTCTCCGAAAAGCTTTTTAATTTTGTTCCCAAATAATTAATCTTTTCGTAACTTAAATACGTTTTAATTGTACAATTCTAATGTATTTTAAAAAATTTAGAAAATGTTTTTAACGTACACCATTTAAAATAATTTTGAAACACTCGTCTAGTATCTTTTCAATTTCTACATTTATTTTTTAATTTAAGTTAATAGAAGTTACATACAATTTCATCAACCTTAGATGTGAACATTTTAATAAAATTAATCTATTTTTCTTTAAAATATCTGTAAATTTAAGATATCCAAGATGCACACACGAATCCGCTTAAAATCTATCTCTGCTTCAGCGCCTCAGGTAGGAGTAGTAGGGATACGTGGCGTATGCGCCATAAACCGGAGAATACGCATACGACGCGTAGGCCGGATAGCTGGCATACGCCGGATAATAGGCCGAGGGCGTGGCAGCGGCTAACCAGGACCCGCCCACTCCAGTTGCATAACTCACCGGCGCAGTGACCAGCAGCTGAGGCTTCGCCTGGCTCAGTGCCACTAGCAATGCAAGCTGGCAGGATTATTGATACGTTTGAAATATCCACATATTGTATTTCCTTACAGATGGCTATGTGCATCCGGGATGTGTGTACTCACCATTAAAACCTTGACCAACATGGCTGTTCTGTGTTTATATTCGTGTTCTGCTCCTGCTCCTGCAACCTGCTCCTACTCCTGCCGATGGCTTAGCGTGCTAAATTCAAAAATTTTACTGCCAGATTGGTCCGGCAAGTCAATCATATTTATAGCCTCAGGCTCAGGCCCGCCAGAGAATCGTGGAGAGTCCGGGAGAGACCCGGAGCGATTCTGGCAGCCCATTAATATTGCTAGACCTTAGCTCGCTGAGCGGCATAAATTATATTCTTAATGCCATTTGAAATTGTTGAGAAAGAATTCATATAAGAAAACGGCCAATAAAAATGGCATTAATTGATGAAATTTTGTATACTCTTTGGGCAGTAAATAGGTGAATTAAAAAGTGCTTAAGGGTATGAGTAATAAGATAATAAAATATATAATAAGAAAAGAACAGAAATAAAGAGAAATGTTCATGATTTTTCAATTTACCGAAAGTGTTATGAAGGATTGGCTAAAAATAAAAAAGGATTGGGTTACAAAAACGCCGTGCTTAAACATATATTAATTTAAGACAAAATTAAACATTAAAACAAGTACGGAAACTATAAACCTAGTGAATATCTCTAATTAAGAATTCTTAAATAAATTACATTATTTTCTAATTAGACCTTTCCTTTCCCTTTCTCTAAACAAAAACCTGTTCCATAATAGGCCCTCTTCCGGCTGCGTCAGAAAGTTTTGAAACCAAATCCCGAGTGCTACCCATTGTTTTTTCTAAAATTAATGACAGAATGCGAGTGTCGCGCTACCTTCTTTGGACTGTCATTCATTATTACAGGTAAATAGCTTTGTACCTGAATCACCCCTACAACCACTACAGAAGCCCTCTTCGCGCCGCGGCATCTGATTCCGTGCATAAAATATTTGCGTTTATTTAGACGTTGTAAAAATTATAATTATGTGTGCGTGCCCTCCATGCATATGAGCCTGAAATCAGGGATTCCAGCCACTTCGATGGGAAGCCATGAAACAAAACCATATTTTGCGATCGGTTTTGTTAGATAAGGCCCAAGGGTGACGTCTTGTTTAAAGCCCTAGGACCCGGCTTTAAGCCACAACAGATAGCTAAGTTTGCAACTGAGCAAGCATGGCCAACGATTTGGGCCGGGCCGAGGGCAGGAGGGGGCTGGGAGTCGGGACGTAGGGCTTCGTGTTTCGCAAGCTATAAATAATTAATTAATGCAGACGCAGACAAGCGAATGAGACGAGAAGCGTTCTATGCAAATTTCTGAATATAGACCATAAATTCAGACCCCGAACCGAAAACCCGATGAAGCCATCATTCATGCCCTACCTATAACTGTGTACACTTTGCATACACCACCATATAGTGGCGTAGATGTTTGAGTTGCCTCATAATTATATTGTACATGTTTGTGGCAAGTTCACTGACCATCGGGCCCCGAACTCCCAACTCCGCTTGACCACGCCCAGGCGACTCAATGGAAAGTACTTGGTGGAACTGCTTTTAGCGACAGTTTCTCATTTCTTTTATCCCAACTGTGTTTTTTTTTCTATTTTATTTTTGATTTTTTGTTTTTTAGCTGGTTCTGCTGCTAATTCCCAGCTTGGTTACCAAATGGCAAATAGTCGCAGCTGGCAGCCATTTTTCTTGAATTGCGCTTTGTTTTTGATACCCTGGAAAAGTGACAGTTAATAGGGAGTATGAATTAAAATTTTATGATGAATGATACAGCAAATTACCTTGAAAAATTATCCAATTGTATAGTTAGGATAAATTTAAAAATACTAAGTTGTCAAATGAATTAGCTGTTTCAATTTTGTGTTTCAGAATTAATACGAAATAGATTTTTTATTAATATTTGAAAAACTAGTATTATAAAAATCTAATATAGCTTCTTGCAACTTATTTGTATGTATTTTTTTGAATAGAAAGAAAACACTTTTTAATAAGCGTAAATAAAGCTTAGAAAGAACCTAAAACTTAGAAAAAATAATACTTTTTTTGCCATACAAGCAATAAAAATAACTCACTTGTAGTAGCTCTCTAATCCTAACTTCTGTTTACTGATAAACTGGGTACCCCAAAGGACCATGCAACCCTTTCAGCCCCGGCTCAGCTTACTGTTTTTCGCAAAGCTGCAGCGGAAGCATTGCATAATTAAAAAATAGCTGCTGTTTACGAGTAGGTTGTTTGTTTATTGTGTAGTCATCCCCGGCTTTAGTCCTTGCTGCCCCGCTCCCAGCCCCTTTACTTTGTGCTGCTTTCGCCCGTTTGTAATTTAATAAAGCGCACTATTTAAATTAATTAATGAGCAGCGCCGGCTGGGGTGGTTAATGTTGTTACAAGTGCAGGTGAAATTACAAAAACAGCATTTGGGAGAAAATTTACAAGTACAGGGAATCCTTTACTCAGAGAAGTTCGCGCGCTCCCCATTGACCGAGTAGATCTCCTTCTTCAACTGATGGCACTTTTCGTCCATGGCCTTGGTGACTTTACGAAGGACATCCGGAGCGATTTTTCTAGGGCCGTGTAGCTTGCAGAGTTCCTTCAGCTTCTCCCAACACCTCAATTCTCCGCTTGCCTCGAAGAGATTCGATTCCTGGTCGACCGTGCTTCGGCTCCTCCTAACTTTCTTCTTCGATTCGCGTCGAACCCACCGAATAATTTCGTGCTCTAGTTGTTTGTCCAAATCCTGCCATTCCTGTGAACCCGAGTCCTGGTGGCTTATGTCCAGGCAGGTTGTGAAAAAGTTCAAGCTATTTGGAGCTCCTTTCCAAAGTTTTAAACGTTCCAGGGCTTTATTAGCGCCAGTTTCAAAAGCCTGGACATCGTCGTCTGTGAATAAGGGACATTCGTTGCAAAGATTTTTTGGCTCACTTTTTGGCAAACCCCTAAGAATTTCATCGGATGACTCGCTATACCCCCCATATAATCTGGGTGGAGGCGCTGGACTGTCTCTACGTTTGTATTTCGCGGTATCCTTGGAAGAACTAGATGGTCTGGGCATCATAGCCGAGTCCCTTGTAGCAAAAGCTACTTTTTTTGGCGGTGCTGGAGTTGGAGCTTTAGTTTTAAAGAAAGGTGTCTGACTATTTTCAGAAGGATCTCTAACGCGTTCCGCCATTTCTTGAAAGCAATTTTTCAAATTTCTCACAGCACTCGGTCGTCTGGTTAAATGGGTTGGGATATGGGGTTTCTTGGGATCTTGCTCTGGTAATGGCAGCTCTGAGGATGGGGCACGCCTAGTTGTATCCTCGTTAGGGTGAATTGCCAATTTTACACTTGCCATTGGAGCTGATTTTTTAACAAGTGGCTTCTTCTTTTCGAAAACTAAGATCTTCTGCCTTACACTTTGGTTATTTTGTGTCTTTGCAGGACTGAAGCGTAGATAGGGCCTTTGGATACCTGAGCACTCGCCTGGGGACTGTTTGGCGAAGCTCTTCGTCCCGATTAGCGATGCTCCGTGTCTACTGGTAGAGGGAGCCATTTCCGAGGGCTCCGTATCTTCCATGATAGGTTCCAAGACACGGGAGTGGAACTGCATCCGATGTGGCTGACTGGTAGAATTATTCCTTTTCATCAATCGGTGCTGCTCCTTGGGTAAAGGCGTGCTGGGAATGGTCTTCTGTGAAAGGAGTGAGGATGATTTGTCCTTGCAACCCGTCTCTGTAATTCCCCGGTAGCTGTCTAGTAACCCGTTGAGATCCTTTTTGCAGTTTCGTACATCCGTAAACGGAGCTCGAAGGTTTCCAAAGTCCTTCAGATGGGCGTGGATCAGTAGCATCAGACCGTTTCGGGCCAACTTCTGGTTGAGCGGCACAGCTTCAAAGACCTTCATCCAACTTGCCATAATTAGGCGATCAGAGGGACAGGCCTTATTATGGAACACATCCTGGAACCGGGCTACTTGCTGTCGGAAGTGGCGATCCAGCATTTCCTCGCTTGGATCCTGCATATTTGCATTGGCTGCCAGAGTGGAAATTTTGATAACAAAAAAAGCAACTTTCCTCTACCAACAGAAAATTTAAATGATTTGAATGAACTCAACCCGCTGCCTGGGATCGGCCAACGGAGGAAAGTGGGATTATGTGGCATCCACTGAACGTTTTGCTGCCGCAAGGGCGGCGGATGGTGTTGGACAAGGTGTGAGGTTACTGAAGTGGAGCTCAGCATCTTAGAGGATACGTCAAGTGGCATCCCAGGTCTAGTAATAAGCCCAAGGAGCAGCAGCACTGAAAAGAATTGTGTTGAAATTTTAGAAAATTGTCGGAATTATGGTTAATGGGTATTTTTCTTATCTTTCTGATATGTTGAAATTTATTTATACAATATTGTATCAGTATATATAATATTATTAATATTATTGGTTTAAAATAAACTTTTTTTCTATAAAACAAAATTATGGCTACAAAATTTTGAAAAGTGCAGTAGCAGTAACAACAAAGTGCGCGGTCGCCTTGCCACGTAAATTTTCATTAGCACAGCGCGCGTATAAATTAGGAAAATGAAGCAGCAGTGGCGGCGGTGGCAGCAGAAGGCACTTGAGTGCACCGCAACGCAACCCCCTCCATGAAGACGCCACCAAAGGGGGTGAGTGGGCGGTTGTGGGTGGTGGCACGGCCTAACCACAACGGGAACAACAACGGCGATACGTAGGTGCTGCGGCTTGTGGCGAGCTGTGAGCTGCGAGCTGCGAGTTGTGAGCGGGAAGCGCTGGCCTGCCAGCCTGCATAAATTTATATTGTTAAACATGAGCTAGAAAAAAGCACGCGCAGCCTGTCAAAACAAAACAAAAAGCGGGCAGGAGCCGAGAAATGGCATGACATGCAAAGCGGTTAAAAGAAGTAACCTTACTGCACTCTGCATAAATAGAATGCCGTAGTTCTAGAGCAAGCCACATTAACAACGGGCCTTTAGAAAACCCGACTAGAGAACCTTTTTCAACGCGTTTTAATTAAGAAAAGTCTCGTTTTATTAAATTACGTTTTAAAAGTACAGGTTTTAAAAAAACGGCTAAAGTTAATTTGATTATATACCAACTTCGTGGATGGTTTTTGTAAAAATACGTTTTTCAAATTATAATTATTTTCAAAATTAAATTTGAAAAAGTTTGCCCATAGATAACAATACTTAAAATCGATAAACAGTCAAAATAAAGGAAATATGGAAACACTTCCTGAACCGCAACACAGCTGGTCACTTTAAAGAGTCAAAGTCTGCGCACGCGTGACTCTATTTCTGTTTTGCTTTTTTGAATTGGAAATGGACTTTGAAAGAAAATACCTAGTGTGCCAGTGTAACGGCACTATTAGAATACAAACCCGGAGCTTCCTGTTCGGGGATTTACGAGCTTCCCTAGAATCTGGACAGGGAGAGGTGCGAGTCCATTTTCCAAGTTTTCAAGCTTTTCAGCTGTAGCAATTTTTTCAGCTGTTTCTTACTCACATACCAAAGATATCGGATGTAAACATTCCACGGAGGATTGTGGAACTGGCCAGCACTCTGGGGGATGTGTACGCCCTGCGGTACAAGATTGATTTCACGGGCATTTCTCGTGGATTTGCATACTTGCAATATATTGATGCATCCCTTATGGAAATGGCTGTGAAATGGTGAGTACCGTTCTTTGTGGAGGCTGTTATAATGAACCGTTATGTTTGTTATAGTCTGCCAAAAATTTTCAAGGCAGCCAATCTACGAATCTCAGTGAAGAAATCGAGCAATACGCGGGAATTGATGCTGCGACAAGTTCAGAAGCTCACTCCGGTCCAGGTGTACCAGGAAATGCAAAAGGTCTGCCAGTTCACCTCGCTGCGGGTGTTCGAGTACCGACCTCGGCAGTTTTTTTACATCTTCGGATACGTCAACAACGACCAGGCTGCCAACGCTCATCAAAGTATCCGGGCCGTAATCCGCGGTTTCGGCTCCCGTGCATATATTGCCTGGCTACATCCGACCGATACGATGAGCGAAAGTAAATTTACATCCAGATGCTGCCAGAAGCTGGACAAGAACCTTAATCTTCGTAATCCACGCAAGTGCAATTGTTTTAAATTTTAATCGGATTTCCTAAACTAATATTTTTTTTGTATATGAATTCCATAGAGTTTTGTCCTTTGACCCATTTTTTGTATCTGTTCTAAGTTTCTAAAATTAAAAAATTGTTAATGATAAGCATGATATGGGATTTCATTTTTCCTCACCCCCCTAAAACAATGATAATACGGAAAAATGTACAGACCTCTTGTTTCTTCCATTTAGTAGCACAAGTAAAACATGAAACTGAGTCCACAGGATAAAGCATGCTTCTCCTAGCTCTGCCAAGTTCCGTGAAATTGTTCATTGTCTTGTTTATGGAATACCTTTGACCTGGAGCCTCCCGTTCTAACAAAAATAAGGCAGCCGCAGCTTGTTGACTTCATTAACTCTGGGCAAGTACAGAGGCAGCCAGTAAGAAAAACAAAATCAGGGAGGGGAGTCTGTGCACTGCAGTTTTTCACATGCAAATTAATGCAGTGCAGTGTCTTTGGAGTGCCAGGACTTTCAGGACGATGCGACAACCTGCGGCATAATGCAATTAAATGAGTGCAGTAAGCAGGAGCGACAGCCGCAGGCTGGCATTGTGTTAGGATCCGGAGGAGCAGCGTCGGAGTGCAATGATCGACGGACGGAGGGCGGGCGGGTGGTTGGGTGGTTGGGAGTTGGAAGCGCCAGATGCCGTCTCATCCATCAGAGCCGGATTCGAAGGACAGGTCCGCTGCGCATTCTAATGCGATTGCCGCACTTGACGGGATGTCGTGGCAGCCGGAAACGGATGTTGTTATCCTTCTCCCTCTCTGGGCTGCAATTAAATTAGAGCCTCAAAATCGAAATGCAGCTGCTGCCAGTAACCAGTAACCAGTACCTCTGATTCTGCAGTCAACAAGATGATGCGAAAATAAGAAGCGGCAAAAAACACTCGCAACGTCATGAATATTCATTAAACTGAGCACAAGTCGAGACTTCTTCATGGAAGCTGTATGTTTTCGAAAAGCATTTGCATTAATTTGTTAATTCAAGCGCGACAGCCACGCCCCTGTTCACTCACTTAAAGCCCATTAAAATTTCAAAGCCAACCTACTAGTGAGATGTGCGAGTTTCGAGCCCACGGCAATTCGCCACTCGGCTCGACTCCGCATTGAAGGGTTAAAGTAATGAAGCTACCACATATGTGACGCAATTACAATGGCTCGAAGTTTGCTTCTAATTTTCCTCCAGTTGCCGTAACCATGCCAGCAGGCGGACAACGATTTTCAAAACTACACCTCTCATCAATGTAATAGAGGCCCTACTTATCCTTTATATTATTTTAATATTAGAATCTATAGAAATAGTATATAGTTTAAAGACATGAAATGGAGTTTTAATATTTTGGTTTAATGTGTGCTATTTTTTAATTTTATGTATATTTTAATCGATTATTTATTCAAATCACACTCATTGTACATCACACAAGTAAAGTTTCTAAAACCATCCATCACAGTTTTGGAACTAATATCCGTAATTCCACTGTAGTATGACCCATTTTTCAGTCTGTGATAAAGCGGAACCCAGGCTGGGCTTACCTGGTTATTGCGGCAAGTGCCAATATTTGCTTTTTGATGCGAAAGTGGCAAAGGATATAGAGGGGTTATAGGGGTAGAGTCGAGTGGAGGGAAGAGCCTGCCAACTGACACAGTTTGTTTTGGGCTTTAAGGCGTCGGTCTTTGGGATTTGGGTCACAGATTGCCGGGGACAACGGATTGGGTAAGGGAGTAGAGGGCTGATTCCGTCGCCGGAAAGCGAAAGTTATGCACATATTGCGTTGAAGCTTTAAGGGTAACACACCCATCTACTCAGAAACCAGACCAAGTTCCAGCTTTTTGAATGCGGTTTTAGTTCCGTTCTTGTCCCTCCTTTTTTCGAGCACTCCTCTAAGCGCAGCTGCAGCAAAGAGCATGACAGATGTGTATGAGTGGAAGCTGTGGATGAGGACAAGGATGGGGATGGAGTTGAGGATACGGATGCGAATGCTACGAGGAGGCAACCACCAACCTTCAGCACTTAACGCGAATTTTTTGATGATTTTTTAAGCAACTTGTCGTTGGCTTGGAAAATCCATTACCGACATGCATCATGCATATGGATGACTATCATCGTTTTTGTGATTTTATCCATTCTTGGTTTGGCCAGATGGAATACGAAAAATCGTGTTTTTGGTGAAACAAGCAGTTCAAGCAAGAGCTCTTGAACATTTTTATATTTTCATAAATGAAATGTGAGACCCATCAGCTGAAAAAATATAACTGGTGTTTGCTTCTGGTCAGGAAAATATTATAATAATATGCCATCAACTGTATAATGGTAATTAAATTAAGGTAATGTTTTCAGAAATTATATAAAATAAAGAATAAAATTACCTTTTACCTAATAACTATTTGCATCTGCTTTAATAATTTAAATTTTAAAATATCATTAGAACATTTTCAAACAGTGAGTATGAATTAAAGTGGTTCATATTTTTATTAAAGTTTTTTCTACCGATTTCATGCAAATATAAAAAAACTTTCTATCCGGTTTCAAGCCATCCCCTCATGCTTTATTAATCAATTCAATTTTGTCGCCAAAAATTATGAAAATTTTCCCAGATGCTGCCCAAGCTGCGCTGACAGGCCAAGTTGATAATGAGTGGCAGACTGTTGAAGGAAAAGCCAAAGTGGCAAAAGTTAAAACAACACTTTTATTGACTTTCGGAGGACGCCGGCCGGGAGGGCTTTTCCGGGGACTAATCGGCCCCCTTGGCACTCTGCATTTCTGTAAATTAATGAAAAAAGTTGTGGGCGTTGGCCGAGTCGGATATAAAACACAAAAATATTTATTTTTCATAAGGCGTGGGAGTGAGAGTTCGAGGGCGTGGAGCTGGGTGTGGAGTCCTTGAGGTAGTATTAAAAATTCCCGAGAAACGGCATCAAGTGGGAACAGTTGTTTCTCTTCTGGCAAATGAGTTTATGAGCGTGTCGTGTCCTTGTTGCTTTGTTTATGCTGCATATTAAATAAATTTGACATCAGCTACGAAAACAACAACTCCTCCGGTTCTGGCTTTCGTCTTCGGAGTGTTTTCGGTAACTTTCCATGTTGACAATAAAATAACATTTTGCACTCACTTAGCCCAGCTGGGCTTCCTCACTTGCCGCCGCTCAAGAGTTTTAATGAAAAAAGTTTTTCTCCCCACTACCCGACCCATATTTATGCGAATCCGGACTCCGGACAAACATGCTCATATTTTACTCCGGAAATTGGCATGCAATAGAGTTGATTTTTGCGTAAAATACATATATTTTTTGTTGTATTTATATGCAGTGCTTGTGCCAGAAAGGAGGCTTCATTAAAATGTACACTTGATCATTTCTTGAATTTCTTGTGCAAACTATCCAGGCCAAACTGAACGGAAAGCGTGCAAGGATGTGGCAGAAAAATATTACGCATACGCAGTGTGCGCCCTGTCTCAGACGCCGAGAGGCCAAGAAGCTGGTTGTCAGCTCCGTTCTTGAGGACTTCGTCCTAGAGGACTCAGTTCTTGAGGCTCTAGCCATTGCAAATCAATCAATAAAACGCCAAGCGAAGTCAATCGAAAGGAATTTTTAGCCACACACAATCAAACCCATATTGCTTTGCAAAATTTCACTGAAAAAAGCGATTAAATTAATGCATTTTTAAATTAAAATGTTAATAATTTAAAGTGAAGAACAACATTTTAAAAATAATAAATAATAAACATAAATAACACTTATTTAATAATCCTATTAGACGCAAAAGGCTTAATTTTTTTAAGAATTTTATTTTTTTTTCGAAGTTTCAAATGATTATTGTCTTTTTGTAGAAAATGTGTATCTTAGGGAAATATTTATGAATATCGAACCCTCATTGTGATCTATATTTTCTCTCAGTGTCTGAAAATTTGAAATGCTATGCGCAATATTGAAGCAGCTTCTCATACTTCAGCTAACATTCCAATTGGAAGTCGAGCGGTCCGTCAGTCCGACGGGCAGCAATTGGTGCTGACTGACAATCGATTATTTGCAGAGTGCAAAATAAAACATCAACTGAAATAAAATGTGTATATATATTGTATTTTGTATATACTATATAGCGACAATGAGATATACAATAAAATATCGTTATGCAGCCCCGCAGATGCTCTGGCATTGGCTGCCGACATCGGATTCCTTCAGTCGAACGGCAATTTAATTTCAATTTCTTCGTTGCCAGGCTCCGCTTTCAGCTTCTTCCTATTTCACATTATTTATGGTGCAATAAAAAAAATCTATAAAGTATGGGGGGGTAAGAAAAACTTTGCATTAGCATAGCAACAATATTTGCCGACGCTTTTGTCCTTGCCACACTTTTTTCATCCACAATTTTGTTGCTAAATTTCATTACGGACGGATGTCGCTTAAGTGCACACTGAATTCAATTAGAGCCCGACTATGCATGCATCCTACACGGATATGTACCATATACATATATGGATGTGTAGGAGTATGTTGCAGATGCCAATTGAAAATTGAATTATAAAATATTTCGCACAAACGCTCACAAACACGTTCGTGTAGTAGACATGCAAACATACTCGGAGGCAAATATATTCGAAGAAATGTCCTTTTTCAAAAAAGGAATACAGGACACAGGAAACCGCAACCAGATGTTGTCTCTGTATTGGTTAGATCAGGGTGTGTGGTCCTGATTGGAATGCCTTACATTAAGAAGTCAACTGTTCTGGGTGTAAATAAAGCTATTTACAAAAGAATTTCGATTAAAATTGTGTTTCTCAAGTTCTCTGAGCGAAATTGTTTTGTGAACAAAAAGATGAATAAAGTTTACAACAAATTAAAAAGTTTGTAAGAGTCGAATAGGTCCTTACAGAAATTAGTATAGCTTTTTGTGTTAACTTTATAAATAACAGAACTATAATAAAACAAACTTTTAATAATTTTAGAATATAATTTCAATTGTTTTATATAGCAAATGTTAAAAAATATTAAAAACCAAGAATTATCAAACATGCACGGAGTTTGTGGCCCAGAAAATTACATGCACCTAGTAAATAGTAAAAAGATAAATAGTCCCAGGACCAGGGCCATCCGTTTCTGAGGTTTTCCCCAAGAGTCGTCTCCATTTAATGCAACGTTATAATAGTGTTCACTAGGGGGGTTGTTGCTGAATTCTTTCCCGCCTCTAAATTTGTTGGCCAACTGCTGGCTACTCTTGGCCAGGCCAAGATGCTGTGCGAACACTTCCTGCATCCTGTCGTTTCCTGTGTGCCGCCTAGCCATCGCTCTAGTGCCTGCTCTCTGTCCAGGCACTGCTGGTGCTGTGGTGGCCATTATTTCCTGTATTTAATTGCACTACTCTCGGCTGCGGTTTTCTGCTACATTTGTTGCAGGCTGCAACCGACCAAGGACTATAATGTACTTTGGCTAACCATCCGGGCAGTGCTGCCCCGACTCTACCTATTCCCCCATTTCTGCTCCTTGCTTTTTCCTTTCCTTTTATGGTAGCTCCTTTTTTTTACTTTTGGGTGGTTTGATTGTCGTTCCGGTTTCTTCTTTGTGACGAATTTGTTGGTCACTTTGCTAAAGAGACGGAAAGTGGCGGCCATCAAATGATTTATTCTTTAATAAGCGTGCTCAGGACATGCAGAGAAATTAGATGTGACCACACAATTCATTGCTCGGAGGAGGAGTGCGGTCCTGACGCCCCACTCGTCCTGTACCACTTTTTCCTGATGCTTCTTTAAAAGGAATTTGCGCAATTTATGGGTGGAAGGCGGTCTGCAAAAAATACCAAAGCAGCATTCAAGAAATTAATAAGGAAGTCGGGCCAGATCGGAAGCGAGAAATCAGCAGAAAGGGCAAAATTATGGCGTCTTGAAAGTATTCCCGGTATTTGTGCCATTAAGGCAAACGAATGGCTGGGATAGGTGACAAAAATGCGGAGCCTCATCCCGCGCCGTTTTAAAGTATTTTCCATTATAGGAGAGACTATATATTTTTAGATTCATTTATTAAAAGTTAACCCAGAGAATATTTTGTAAGAGATTCAAGGGGGACACTGCGTATACGCGATGTTATAATTATTCAAAGACATCTATTTTGTAAACTTGTGTAAAAATTTGATACAAGCCTGACTCTACTTTTTTGATCAGCACATCACTCGTTTTCTAGCAAAATAAAAATAACAATAATTACAAATAAAAAATAAAATTTAAATTGTAGTTCCCTGGAAAGCTGAAAGTATTTCCGAGTATGAGTGACCTTAACGAGTGCGAACTGGACCGACACTTCAAGAGCCAACTGCGGGTGATGGGCGATGTGTACGTGAATATAAGTCGCGAGGACCTCGAGGTGAGCCAGCGCTGGTTGGAGCTCTTCCAGCAGGCGAAGCGCCAGGACAAGTACGCCCGCAACTGCCTGATGCTGCTCATGTATGACCAGTTGAAAGAGTTGGGCCACCTGGAGACGCCCTTCCTAGACTTGGAAAACTTGCGCCTGCCACTGGATGACGTCCTCAGCCAATACGAGGGCAGGAAGGAGGAAGATCAAGTCTCGGTCGCAAGAGAGGTCGCCGAGACTGACACCAATGGTTCGGAGTGTGATGCTGGTAGCAGCCGTTGTGGCTCCCAGGAATGCACCTCCAACGTAGATTTTCTGGATGGATTGTGCCCCGACTTTGAGTCCATCAAACAGGCCAATGCGGCTCTCCTCAACGAGATTTCGTTGCTGCACTCCAAGGCGCTGGAGACGGAGAAGCTCTACAGATGCCAGCACCAGCAGCTGGACAAAAAGCTGGCCGAGAAACCCAAGGTTACACAGCTGAACACCTGGCAGGAAAAGGTCTGGCAATCGACAGTGCAATCCATAGGACGCCTCAACGAATGGGCTAGTTCCGACTGTCCCTTCGACTTTGTGTCCTCCATTTTGGGACCGTTCCTCAAGAATGAACCGGAACTAAGCTCACAGCTGTACAAACTGGACCGGCATTTCAATGCAACGCTGAAAAAATTGGTGTTCCAAGAGTGCGATCGGCGGGAGGGCAATGTACGCATGCTGTACGAGCAGCTCATCATGGCTCAGAAGGAGTCCCAAAAATTCAAGGACCACCAGATGCATAAAGCGCAGGAAGCTTTGAAGTTAGAGTTTAAAAAGCTACGTGTTCTCTCCGAGGAATTGCAGAGACGGGAGGAGCTTACCCAAAGACATCAATCAGCTTCAGGGGATCTAGACCTTTGCCAATATTGTCAGGTGGGAGCAAAGTCCCGAAGCAGGTCTTTACATCCCCCCGACAGGCAAGGATGCACCAGGGTAGGACCCTGCGAGATCTGCGAGGAGAAATCCAGCCCAACCAGGTTCAAAGATGTGATACGCAACAGTCGCAGGAAGTCTATTTTCAACGAGGATCTGGAAAAGTTCGCCGAAGGTCTAAGCGATCTGTCCGATGGAAAGGCCTAGTCCTGGTGCACCGTCTCCAAACACAGCACTTATAATACTCTTTATATATATATTTTTACCGATTTTTAGTTCGAATCAATACATCGTTAAGTTGGTTTAAAAGTTCTGCCTGTTTCTCCTTCATCCGACGGCTTCTTCCCTGTCAACTGCAAAACTTTTAATGTAGTTTTAATTTTCTCGTAATCACGGAGGCAACTTGGCTCTAGTCCTGAAAAGTCTGCAAAAATCTACGCACTTACACTGTGGAAAAAAACGTTTTGAATAAAATTAATCTATAAGTTTTTTCAACAAAACTTTACCTACAAAAGATAAGCTAAGGCTAATAAATAAATGATTTTCGTGTGATTGTTACAAAACTACCTTTAAAGTTTAAACTATCGTAATAATCGTAATTAAATAAAATATTAAAAAATAATTACAAGTCAAGTAATCCTCTAAGAATTCATAAAACATCACTTGTTTTCTTATCTTTTCTTATCGTTCAGTCGACAGTTTTTCTTTTGCTTTTTTTGTAATAATCAATAAGGACAATAATTTTATAAGTTTTAAATAAAAAATTCTTTCAAAATTTTTCCCAGTACAGTGGCTACTTCTTAGCCGGGTGAGAAGCAGAAAACAACAAAGTTAGAGAAGCAGCAACAGCTTTGTTCGTAATTAGTTTTTAAGCGCTTCCGGAGGTTGCGGGGCAAGGATATATCCTAAGTGGGTCCAAGATGTGTGTGGTGTGTGCCATTGGTTATGACAACATGCAGTTAAGCACTTCTTAACGATGGCTGACTGCCGATAATGGCCTTTGGTGGCCATAATAATGCTATTGATTTTCGTGCCAGCAGACTTCAAACTAAATGAACTAGAATTATGAAAAGAACTTTTAAACTACGCGAATGCCAAAAAGAAATGGACAACTAGCGTATAAATTTCAAAATTTTGATAAAGCCATCTCGGCTCTTTATATGCATGCATAAGTATATAACACTCTTTCGGCGCTCTTTACGGCAACACAAGAACCATTCATTTTCCAAAAGAGCTAGAAAAAATGCCGACAAAAACTTGGAGGCAGTTGGGAAAAAGTTGCCAAAGAAAATGCAGTCTCCCTGCTACCATCCAACTTTGAACGAGTCCATCTTTTTCCACTGCAGCATGACAATAGCTCAAAATATGTAGCGCCAACTGTCGAAGGAGCCGGAGCGGAAAGTAAGTGTGCGAAAAAAAGTTTCCCCTTGGCTTTAATGATGCGTTCAGACACCCGAAGTTGGCGGGCAAAAATGGTGGAAAATTGGAGGAAGCAGCGGAAGTCGAGCGCTTACATTAGTGGCATAAAATTAATGACACATTTTGTGGGCTTATGCGGATGCATTGTTCGCCTTGGATTACTCCCAGACAAATATTGTGGCCAGAAATGGAGGGGGCTTCAGCCAAAAACTAAAAAGATGCCAGCACCCAGGCAAATATTGCATTTTTGCGGCATAACCATTGCAACGAATGGAGTCACAGGCGTGCAATGCATGCAGGACAACATTTCCAACTCTTAATAGCTTCCTATCCGGAGAGTTTGCTTCTGGGGTGGTACATAACACTTCGGGGACAAGAATATGCCCTTTTTCGGGCCCAGAACATTGTCGTAATAAGTAACATCTGTGTTTATTTCACTGTCCTAGTTTTCTTACTTATACTTGGTTAGTCTCTGAGGGCAGCTCTTTGCCGGCAAAATGCCGTTTGGCAAACGTCTCGGCCACAATCAGCGGGAAAACTAAGCTAGCTTCGGCGTAAACTTTCACTGGCGTCGCATCCTTCCGTATTTTGCCCCAGGATATAGCCTCATCCGGCCGGGCCCCACTGTCGCTGCCGTCAAACTCCGAGGCGGTGTTAATGAATACCGAGAAATCGGCTCCGTTCCGCATCAAATTGGCATTGCAGATGTGGTGCTTGATGACGCCGCCACCAACGATGATCATCCCACTGTTCACGGCTTTGACGGCCATGGTGTTCAATCGCCGGAGATCGGAGAGAATGTCCACAACAAGACCAGGTTTCCGGAAGGAGTGGAAGTACATCATGTCCCCCAAACTGCCATCAGTTAAGGCAGGGCAGAAGACGGGAATTTTATTTTTCGCTGTCCAGTAGTATATGGAACTGGGATCGCCAATCCTTTCCCCTAGGCGATTTATTATCTTCGAGGGTGACCAAACTGTGCCTTTTGAGTTCTGCTCATCGAGCATTTCATCAAGAAGGGGCATCAGCCAGTCCTCGAACTTGCAGTAGTTGTCGTTCGGGACAAGGAGGTTTCCTATTCTATTGATGCCCCGTTCACGTAGATCCCTGCCACTTAGTTCAAAGGAACCCATGAACGTGGGAGCCAGGCACTTGATGAAGTCCTCTTCAACTCCGCCGGCTGTGGTCACAATGCAGTCGATCATACTGTGCTCGGCTAGGAATCGTATGGTTTCCCTCATTCCGGAGGAGACCAGGTTGGAGGTATAGCCCAGGAAGAGCGTGCATTTGCTTTTCCTTCGAATGAAATCGTCAGTTTCATGGCTGTCCAGTTGTTCCTCGTCCAGCGGTTGGGCCCTGCAATCCAGCTGCCAGTGTTAGGAGCTTGTAACGATTTACATGAACTATGGACATTTACAAGACTCACCATCCGGTTTATTTCCTTCATGGCCAGGCCTAGGTTTGTGGCCTGGAACCCGGTGTTCACATACGACTCGAACAGCTTACTGTAGTCCACACCCTGGTTGAAGTCATATCCCTGCACCTGTGGGGTGTCCTCCGCCAAGCGCTCGCTGCGCTTCAGCACTGCGTCCTTGGCCACCGCGGGCTCTGAGGACATGGTCAAATTCAAAATAAACTTAGCGACGTGTTTAGGAAATCAAATCAACATGTGCCGAAATATAAATTCCGCTTTCCAACACTAGAAAACCGTGGCAGAGTTGTCCCTACTGCTCATTATAAATAAATTCAGTTGAGTCATGGGAGCGTAATATTTTATTGTATTGGTAATAACTCTACATTTTAGCACTTTTAAAATTCTTTGTTTTTTATTTTGAAGATAAAATTAATTGCCGCGGTACAACAACGAGCATCAAGGAGGTCACTATCGATACATCCCTATCGGCTGTTTCCCAGCTCTATCAGAAACGAACTGAAGAAAGCAATCCCGTTTTGAAGTGAATTTCCCAACAAAATTTTCGTTTACGGTAGGCGAACCAAATCAAAACAAATTCTCCATAAGCACTGACATTCGATCATGCCCCGTACCCGATAACTAGCACCAATTCCCCCGAAATAGAGCTGAAAAACAGCACGAAACAGAACTTGCAATCCAGAAAACAAAACGCCAGCGAGACGAGGACGCCAAGATGATTAAACTCTTCACGCTGAAGCAGCAAAAGAAGGAGGGCGAGCAGAAGGGAAGCGGTGGTCAGCAAAAGAAGGCCTCGGCCGCCCAGCTGCGCATACAGAAAGGTGCGATATATTGGCTATCTATACCTATAGCATCTACATTTTATATCTCTTCCATTGCGATGTGTGCCCCGCAGATATTAGCGAACTCAACCTGCCAAAAACTTGCGCCACAGACTTTCCGGACCCCGATGACTTGCTAAACTTCAAGTTGATCATCTCGCCCGACGAGGGCTTCTACAGGGACGGCCGTTTCGTTTTCAACTTCCGCGTCGGCTCCAACTACCCGCATGAGCCGCCGAAGGTCAAATGCAGCACCCAAGTATATCACCCCAACATCGACCTCGAGGGCAACGTCTGCCTCAATATTCTGCGCGAGGACTGGAATCCAGTGCTGACCATCAACTCTGTAGTCTATGGCTTGCAATTTCTTTTCTTGGTTTGTATTTAAACGAAAAGATTATAGCATTGGTATACGAAGACCATTCTTGCAGGAACCAAATCCGGAGGATCCGCTGAACAAGGAGGCGGCTGATGTACTCCAGACCAACAGACGCCAATTCGAGTACAACGTTAAGAAGGCGATGCGCGGCGGCTACGTGGGCGAGACCTACTTCGAGTGCTGCCTGCACAAGTGATATAGGGAACTCCCATCCCAAGGTCTCTTACTTTAAGCCTGCCCCCCTCACGATGATGATGATGATGATGGTAATGAGATGATGCGAACAGCGACGTAAACCGGCGACAAAAATTATTGTAATAAACCAGATAAAACACACTGTACGATGAGCAGCCGAGTCGAGTCACCAATTTCTAGTTTTTAATACAATTCATTTAGCAATTTCTCCCGCCCGTCTCTTAATCTACTAAAACCTCAAAGGTGTATGCTATGCCTGCTCATCTGCATATTCCTCCACAGGCACAGATCGGCCACGGCCGCCTGTCGGCCGTTCGGCACGCGCAGGTCGTATAGTCTGCTGATTAGACCCACTCTTATATCATCAGTGGCAAGCACTTTCAGCAGCTGCTGCACCAGTTGGGGAGGAAGCAGCCGCAGAACTGGCGTCACCCTTTCCCCGCCGCACTCCACCAGCAGGGAGATAAATTGGTAGACAAATACTGCCTTGGGCGACAATTCGTCCCCGCTGACGAACTGCAAGAATACTCCAAATATGTGCTGCACACTCGACTGCAGCGGTTCCTTCAGCGTCACGGGCGTTGTCCGTAGTTCGGCCGAGTTGGAGCCCATCAACGATCCTCCCAGGCCCGTCACAGAATTCCCTGCATCTGTAAAGTCGCTGGAGTTTTCGTTTCCCTCGCCGATCACCTTGCGCACCTTGGCCACATTGGCAGCCAGTTCTTCCTCGTCATGGGAGCGCGATCGTTTTTTCATTGCTGCCAGGGCGGAGGAGGTAGTGCCACTGCGAGTTTCCAAGCAAGAGATTATGCAGTAGACGCACAAACGGGACAGAATCAGGGACTGCGGCTCATTAATGTCCTCCCTAGAATAGAAAACCACTATAATAATGTTTCTACGACATGTATGACATTAGTTACCCCTGTCGCCGGAGTACCATAGGTGCCACAACATACTGCAACAGAGCCTCCGTGGTCTTCTCAATGTCCAGGTGCATCACGGCAAACACCACGTCCATCATGACGGACATGTCTCGCGTGTACTTGCAACTCAGCAACTGCTCCACAAGCTGCGTGGCCAGCCACGCTGCTCCGCCGGCCAGCAGCAGGGATTCCAGTGTCTGGGCCGCACGCACGGGCAGATGGCCCGCCTCCAGGACCGTTTTCCACACCTCCCGAAACTGTTCCACCAACGGGGAGTGGGATATCAGGCGGGATTTGGTATTTGGTGCGGGATGGACGTCATGCTGCATCTTTCTGATGATCTGATAGCTCAGAGTCAAGCGTTCCTTGGCGTTCTCTTGGCTGGAGAGCTCTTCGCTGGTCATCGGCGCCAGGAACTGCTGGATCATGTTCATGGGCTTCAGCAGCTCCGTTTCTCGCACCGAGTACATGTAGGCACACAGAAAACTGGTGGCACAGACGGAGAAACTGAATAGACGCCGCTTAATATTGTCCAAAATACTTTTGACATCCGCCGAGGACAGAGTCTCCTGCTCCCAGGCTATGAGCACATGGTGAAGCACCCCGGGGAGATTGAGGCAGGTCTCCTGCCAACTGAGGTTACTCGGTTTCAGTTGGGCAGCCTCCGGCTTGCTCAAGCTAAGCAGAAGCTCATCCACAATACTGTCGTCGCATAAAGCAAGAATCTGGCGGGGATTCTTAAGCTTGTTCCGCTCCACCATGCACTCTCGCACCCACTTCTCGAAAAAGGAATCTCCCCGCTCTGATAGAACCACCTGAAATGTAAAGTCGAATATTAAAAGAAGTTTTTCTTAGGGAGGATGCTTTGTTACATCCGATCCGTAGGTCTGGACGATGCTGGTCAGCATTAAGAAGGACACGTCGAATAATGTCGAACGGATGACGCAGAGCTTCCCCAACTCGCCCGGCACCGGCTTCGAGTTCTCATTGCATTGAATTAGGCGGGAGACGAAGGTTTTCAGCCGTCCCTCTACGGTGGCCACTGAGAGGATCAGCTCGAAGCTGTTGCCAACTGGCACCTGGCAGAGCACGTTCACCATATCCTGCACCTTGTTGGTGCAGAGTGTTTTGAGCACTCCGGACAGCGGCACTTCGGCGCGCTTGATGATGTTGATGTTCGAGGGCGTCTGCTGGCCGTTGTCGCATTTTTTCAGCAGCTGAGCAGCCGCTTCTCTGCAAAGAAAAACAATTAAACGCCGAGTTTTTGGGTGAAGGCACATCTCACCCACCTCTGGCTGGCAAACTTCTTGACGTGGATGTCGCTGACCAGCTGCTGCTTGGTCCAGTCGTTCAGCAGAAACTCTATCATGTTGCACGAACACTTGGTGTCCATAAAATCCAGCAGTAGGCTGTCCTCGATGAGCAGCTCCAGGGCCTCGACCAGCTCCGGAATGTAATCCGTCATGGGAGGCTGCTCCCCGGGAACCCGTTGTAGTGCATGCAACTGTTTGATGATGTGGGGCATCTTGAAGAACATGAAGGCGCCCCACATGGTGTCCGGGCTGGTGTCGGCCACATTGCTCAGCGTAAGAAAACCCGCTCGGATAATCTCATAGAAGAGACGGGTGTTGGAGTAGCGCTTGAGGCGTTGCAGCATCTGCAGCTCGGCCACATAGTAGCTTGTGTCTTTGCAGGGATTCAGGAGCACCTCCACGGCGAGGAGCGGCTGTACGCAGCAGGAGATCTTTTCCAGCGCGGGCGCCGGGTTCAGGGGCTGCATATCTAAATGCTTCGCCTCGATGTAAGCCAGCTGCTGGAGCTGCTGCTCGACATTGGGGGAGCTTAACGTGAAGTTGGAGTTGGTCAGGGAGCCCTTAATGGTGGCGTGCTTGTCTCTGATGCGCATGCAGGTATCCAGCTCCTCGTGACAGCCCACGTACAGCATGGAGAGCAGAAACTGGTGCTGGCTGAGGCGATCGATCACCACGCAGGTTTGATCCAGCAGGTACGATTGCTCCGCGCTGATCTCGCTGTACAGCTCATAGTGCTGCACGGTGCGCGCAAAGATCTGCAGCAGCCAATAGACCAGGTTGACAACGGCACTTGGTAGAACAGCCTCCTCGGACTTGATGCTGTGAAGATTATAAGGGAATTAGCCAGGTTCTACTTCTGGCTGGTTACACCCACTCACCGACAAGTCACCCCATCCACAATGCCCGCCAGAAACTCCAGCAAAGCTGTGATGCAATAGACCCTCTCCAGTTTATCGTACTTGGCTATGCACCGCAGGACGGCAGCATGGGAAACGAGGTGGGCGCACAGGGAATGCTTCAGGTAGTTCAGAACCAGCTGCAACGGGAACAGGGCTTTAGATTTCTCGACTAAATGTATTTATTGAGCAACTCACCGGGTTGGCTGTGGATCCAATGAGGGCCTGCTGCATCAGGCAGTCCGCCAAGTTGTAGGCATCTCCGCTGACTCCACGCGGCAGCACCTGAGAACAGAATCATGATGAGAGTTAAACAAGTGCTTACATAACATTTCTTTTTGCTGTCAACATTTTTTATAGATTTAGGACCTTATATACGCATCTATTCAAGGACAGATATACAAGCTTGGAGTTGGCATTCCAACTATATATACTACAAAGTTTTATTCTTAGTTCTCACTTCGAACCGTGAAAGCGCGATGTTACGTTTGAAATTCTTTTGCAGCCACGGAGACTCTCTCACCACCCTGATCGGTGGCGGCGGAGTGGCGGGGGGACTGGCGGCGGGTGGCGGAAGGCGGGCTCTGCCATGCACGGACGTGGACAGTGCTCCGGCGGCCGCCGTCTGCTGGCTGTGGCGCCGGCTGATGAGCCAGTACCAGTTTCGGATCCAGAAGCCGGCCTACTACCCGGATCGCCAGCTGGAAGCGAAGCGTCCCAGTATAGCCAAAGCCGGCCAGCACTCCCAGCAGCTCAATGTCCCCGTCGTGAAAGCAGTGAAAAGCCGGGGCATGCCCAAGGACTACTACTATCGGGTGCTGGGTGTCCACAGGCATGCCACCATCCAGCAGATCCGATCGGCCTTCTACGCGCTAGCCAAGCGGTACCATCCTGACTCCACGCATTCAGAGCAAAAGCTGAAGCACTTCCAGGAGCTTTCTAACGCCTACAACATCCTCACGGACGAGACCAAGCGCCTGGAGTACGACCAGCTGGGCGGGGTGAGGGATGAACGGGCCTTTCTCGAGCAGGCGGGAAATCCCATGAAAGTCGACCTTGAGGAGGCGAAGAAACTGGAATCCGGGAAGTGGTCCAACGAAGGTTAGTCAGGGAAGACACCTTCCTGATCCTGATTAATCCTTCCCCTCCTTTCCGCAGAGATCAACAGGGTGAAGAACAACGAGTTCGACCTTCCGCTCAAGTTCGAGGAGGCGACCGTTGGCTGCAAAAAGCGACTAGATCTCAAGTACCTGCGCAAGTGTGACACCTGCAAGGGCAAGTCGCAGCTTATGACGCACCGGGACGTGGGCAAGGAGCCCTGTCGGCGCTGCAATGGGACCGGGAAGGTGACCACAAAAACGGCCACATACACTTCGGTAACCACTTGCAACCAGTGCAAGGGCAAACGCTTCACGAACCGAAACGACTGCGAAACTTGCGGAAATCGAGGTCACGTTATCGCCAGCGTAGATGTCATGGTCCCTGTGCCAGCAGGATCTAGGGACGGAGATGTGGTGACCATCTCCAATCCAAACAACAAGCAACAGGTAACATACAAGCTGCAGGTACCCAACAGTGATTACTTCAAGCGGGTGGGAAACGATATACTGACGGACAAGCACCTAAACATCTCGGACGCCATCCTGGGCGGAACCTTCAGGATCCGCGGCCTCTATGAGACCGTGGAACTAAAGATTGAGCCCGGAACTCAGTCGCACACTCAGATGATCCTTAAGAGCAAGGGCGTGCGCTCCAAGGGGGGTATAGGCAACCACATAGTGACACTCAAGGTGCGCATTCCAAAGAATCTATCTGTTAAGCAACGCCAACTGGTCTTGGCTCTGGCTCAGGCCGAAGAACCCCTTTACGAGCACAAAACGAACAAGGAGGCGGACTAAAGTCTCGTCCCGCTACCAATGTATAAAATTCTCAATGTATGTGCTTCAGTTTGTTCGAATACAACTCGGCAGACATAAAATATCTTTAAGGTGTCTATTTTTTGGGTTTCTCGCCTTTTTGATGTTGATGCCCCATTGAGAGTCCGACCAGCGCTCGCGCCACGCCACATAGATGAGCTGGAGGATCTTGTTGTTCTCCTTCATCCCGCGCGACAAAAATATGTTATACTTTTCTTAAAATGCTGTATTTTTCGCGTTTTGTTTAACTTTTTAACTTTCTGTTCAACTCTTCTTCTATGCACCGCTACTAGTGATGGCAGAAACGTAAAATCATCTAGTGATGTGCCTCTTTAAGACATTTTTATCGATAGCCGGCAAGCGTGTTGTAAAATACGCAAGATGGGGCGCGAACAGCGTTGCCGGATAAGAAACTAAAGATTCTTTTAAAAATTTTTTTTAAATTTGATTTTGAAAAATTAGTTTTTGAAATTGTTTATCGAGACATTGAGATATCGAGACCTAAGCAAATCCACCTCTATTAGTTTTCCCTTGATGCTGGTTCAAGACTTTATGAGATTCAAATCTGTTTCACTATTTTTTATAAAATTTAAATTCAAATAAAAAAAACCTAATAAAATATTATATTGAAATTATTTTTTACAGACATGTTAGATAGACAGGATGTTGTTTTTAGAAGATGTTTTAATTCAAGTAATTTATTGAATACAATAAAGTAGCGTATGAGTTTCGTTTGTAAACTTTTTTTTTTTAAATATTATGTTCTAAAATATTTGACTTTGTACAAAATATATCCTATAATATATGTATGCCGAAAATTGTTCCTCCAGTGCGCACTCCGAATTTCTCGAATTTTTTCACTCATCTGTTTGCTAAATGTTTGATTCAGAATTGAAGATTAAATACATGTGAAGGTAGGTGAAGGATGGTGCTGCTTAATCCGAGTTATTTTAATTGATTTAAACAAGAGCTAGGCGAGAAGTTTACATTTAAATCGAGTTCGGTGGATTGTCAAGGGATGAAGTTTGTTGGATGGAAAAAAGGATGTAGGCAGGTACGTAAAGAAAAATAATTTGCAAAGGCCGTTTATTTTGTATAAAAAGCAGGCAACTCAAATATCAAAGAAATCTATAATCGCATTAAATTATTAATTAACAACTAACTTAGGAGTGTATGACAAAAAGCATTTTCCTATTCCAATGGCAGCGCCACACGAACGGGGGCTTAAAACTAAAAAATTGCTTGGGTTTCTGTTTTTTCTGTATTGTTTTGATTTGGGGAACCGGTACAGAGGAATTGTTTGCTGCTGGTATAAAACGAGGAAGAATCGTCACTGACAACGTTTGGATTCTAGGCTAAATTAAGTCTATGACCTATTTATTCACTTAAATACGCTTGACTACCGCATTTAAATCATCATTATCGTTTCGCCAAGCATCATCGCAATCACTTTAGCATCATCGTCCTTAGTACTTTGAGGAGTGAGTTTCATTTACCATCTTCATCAGTTCTTCCCTTCTTGACCACAGTCCTTCAAGCGGAGGAGGAGGAGGATGGTCCGGCTGGCTCGTCTCCCTTAACGGCCGACGCATAGGATCCACCGGGTTTCTCCGCTGCAGGCGCCGCCTTGGCATCGCCGCCACTGCCTCCAGCACCGCCTGCTCCGCTCGGCGGAACGCCGGCTGCTCCGCCGATGCTCACGCCACTGTTCAGGCCTAGAGTTTGAGGTGAATCAACTAGAGAATTGGTTTGGATTTGGATTTGGTTGTGGATGTGTGTGAGTGTGGAGTGTGTGCGAGAAACGAACTGATTAGGCACCTTTGATATCCATTGCGTAGTGGTCCTCAAGCCGCAGGTCGTGCCTCTTAATCAGCTGGCACTCTGCCCCCTCGACGGCCGGAATGGAGTACACGTACAAGTACCCGTCTTGCGAGGCGATCAGCAATCTGTTACCATTTTAAGAAAAAACTTGCTCCAATTAAAGTTAATAAATAGGGAATGGATCTGGTTACCTGAGCTGCTTCTGTATTGTGGCGATGGCGCACATCCGGCGGACTCCCGCCTCCGGCAGGGTGACCGAGGCGAACGCCCTGCCCTGGCTGAACACATCGGTCACCTGCGTGGGCAGGTAACTGGTGACCGTCCTGCCCAAGAATCTAAAAAACGAGTAACTTGCATGAGAGAGTAGATTTGGTGATTTGTGGAGTTGAGTTGGTTGAGTTGTGGTTGTTGTTGTAGTTGAGGTGGTTGGTTGGTTTGGTTTGTGTTTGGTGGTTTCGCAAAATGAAAGAAAAGAAAAATAGATAAATGTCAAGTGCCACTCAAGGAACGAAATAAGAAATCAAAAGGTAACATCCCTACAAACATTACTTTAATCTCAATTTTTAATGACTTTTCCGAATTTATGCTTTTTTTACAAACTGGCAAGTAAAAGAAAGAAATAAAGCTCCTGAGGGTATGTGTTCCTAAAAAATCTTGGAAAAAAATGAATGAGAAATAAGAATGGAAGAATGGTTCGAGAGACGACAGCACACCCACACCTTAAACACTGACCCTGCGACCATAACTATCTACAAAGCATCGGGGAAGAGTACCGCTTGCAAGTTAAACCCCGCTTACCCCATCCAGTCGTCGGTCGTCTGCTTGCTGCCGTGGTTATCAGCGGTCTCCGCGCCACTGCGATCCAGCCGGAAGATGTGCACCGTCTCCGTATTCGAACTGGACACCAGATAATCGGCGCACGTGCTGAACGACAGCGAAACTATAGACACGCACCGCTTCAGGCCTCGTCGCAGCTCAAAGAGTCGGCTACCGTCCTGGGAGCTAAACACCCGGATCACGGTTCCCCGTTCACTGGCCGTGGCTATCTCAGTGCCCGAGGGACTGAAGGCCAATGCCGCCAGCGGAGTGTCGTGGGCGGGTATCATGGTCTTAGCGTGCAAGTGGATGGCATCGAAGATCTGCACTTCTCCGGCGGTCACACTGCCCGGATAGGCCAGGTAACAGTGATCCGACGAGGATGACAGAGCGCACAGTCCTTGTGGATTGCACGGCGTGTCCCGGATGGTGTGCACCACCTTCATGTCTTGAATGTTGTGGATGTACAGCGACTCCTCCAGGCAGACGATCAATCTTTCGCGATTGAGTTTAACGGCCAAGATGGTGTTGGCGTAGGAGTAGTTGCAGATTTCGCTTTGCTTCTTAAAGTGGCATACCTTCAGTTTGCGGGGAGCCCGCTGGGAGACGATGGCCACCAGAGAGCTCTCGAACAGGCGCTCGATGAGGAACAGCTCATCGCTTTTGGTGTGGTAGATTTTATCCAGCGTTGAGTCAACGGAACCCAGGCTGTACAGGCTGTAGCCCCCGCTGGTGGCCACGGCAAGTGAACTGCAATAAAATAAAATCATTAATAATGTGATAAGATAAGGGTTCAGTACAATGTCCTTGAAGAGTAATAGTCTATTTCAGTTTAATTTAAAATTAAGTTAATTATAAAAAATATTTAACAGTAAAGACTGAATAAATATTGATCTCTGAAACAGGCTTTTGATGTAATTTAAATATTATTTTGATAAAATAACACATTTTGGGAACTGATAAGGATTCCACCTTGTCATATCATTAGTGAATGGATTTATGGTGATAAGATATTTGTTTAAATATAGGTATCTAAGCCTAAAATAGGCAATACAAATATTTTTCTTTTCCAAACAAAGGGAGAGAGGGTGTCCTTAGCCAATGCCCACTGTAAGAAACCCCCATGCTTACGTTATGTTCTGGTTAAAGTTGGTAAACACTTCCCCCGCATCCACGTCGGGGCGCCCGAGCAGGGACATCATTGCGCCTGGCCTCTGTGCGGGTGTCTGTGTGTGTGGGCGTGGGTGTCTTCTCTGGGGAGGGGCTAGAGTCCTGCAACAGATTGGGGGGATAGAAAATTAACAGCTAACCGAAAGAATTGCAAAACTGCGGTTTTCGATTGCGAATTACGTCGAGTGGCGTGCGGGAATGGCGCAAGCAACGCATGGGGCACAAATGAGCAGTGAATATAATAACAAATACAATATTTTGCTCTGCTGCTGATAATACCAGCAACAACAAACAAAACACACTCATACACACGCGTGCGAAATCTACGTGACTGGGAATCGTTTATTTTTACCTCTTTGTAACGCTTACGCTTCTACTTGATATTTTTCTATATTCGCGGGATACCTGAAATGAGGACTTTAGAGCTGCACGACTTTTATTTAACTGAGCTACGCAAAACTTAATGATATTTGGATTTTTTGTCGCGCAATTGTTTTTGCTCCCCACAATAAACCCACACATAAACACGAGCAGTGTTGCCAGATGGTTGCCAGAACTGCAACAAGAGTACCATCACCAACAGCCATCGTATTGCAACACTGTGAGAAAAAGTATTTATGTTAATTAGAAATTTGGATGTTTTTTAAATTAATAGTTATATTTTAGTTAAATAGGTTTATTTGACTTAAATTTACACAGTCTTTTATGTACTACTAAAGGGTAGAATAAGGTAGAATTTAGATAAACAGATCAGACATTCAGAATTTTAATAAATTATATCTATTGAAAATAACATAACTTAAGAATAATTAAAATAAAAAGTTTTAATCTGAAAGATAAAAAAGGAATCCTAAAAATGAGCCACTGAGTCTGGAGCAGGAACTCGTTTTCTGCCTCATCCCTGGTTCGTTAATCGAATGGCCATCCCTGCTGCCCATATGAAAAAAAAAATAAAGTAAAATTACATTTCCATCTTTTTAATATGCAAATTTCTGGTCGAAATCTAGTGAACTCCGGACAATAAAAGGCGTTTAATAATGTGACGTGGCTGACTCCCGCCGGAACGTTTCGTGCCTTCTCCAAGGAATCGTAATCCAAGTCCAGACGACAAAATCGATGGTGATGCTGTCTGGGAAAAAGTGCATGTGCATTAAATCGGACTACTAAGCAATATGGGCCATAAAATCCGAAATGCCCGGTGACAAAAGCGAGGACAAGTAATCCATAAGCCCAATTGCCAGTTAAAAGTGGTTCCACAGCTCCAATTCGGAAAGATGCAAACAGAACCGACAACATGAAACAAAAGCAATAACAAGGTGCTCGAACCAAAATAAATACATACCTACAGACACTCGAGGGGGTGGATATGTATTGAGGTGGCTACTTTTTTTTTATACCACAAGCTTCGAGTCTACTTCAGCTGATTACACAAAAATCCTCAAAAATATTTATGTAAGTATGTAAACAAAGGGGTGGACAGGCCCACCTTGGCTTATAATCGGCTGGGTTGCGTTTATTTCGTGCCGCGAGGGCTGATAAGAAAAGTGTGCTTATCTTTCATCTCCAACCTGGCTGCTCTCGTCCGGTGTCTGTTCTATTCTCTAGTACTAGTACTACCGCTACTCATACCAATACGGCCCCCCATTGTCTTTGCTAGCCCGCGTTTTTGTACCCTAACTAGAGGTGGTTTTAATAAGTGGCAAGGTTTAGTTCAACCCTATTTCCAATAGCTACCTAATTAAGATTTTAAATTAGATTGTTAGTATTAATTAAATGAACTAATAGTTTATTAAAATAGTGTTAAATTGATAAACAAACTCTGTTTAATTTTTAGAGAAATAACAAAAAAGGGCATCCAACGTTCGGCCTTCTAGTCTAATCTCCCATTTATAATTTTTTTCTAATCAGCGTCAGCACTGTGCGTCGTGATTTGTAGGACCGTAAGATGGTAGTACTCCACGCACAGTACCGTTATCGCTCTCATCGGGCTCTGTTCAGTTTTCCTACCAGTACCGTTCAGTTGTACGAGTTCCGTATTTTTCCATACCACCAATGAAGTTCCTGGAAGGAGAAGGGTACGTGACGGTGGGGCGATGGGATCAAGGGGACTGTGGAGATCGCAACCCACTGCACTCGGTGTGCTGTTTACTTTTTGTTGGTTTGCGCCAAGCTTAATTACAATTAAATTTTGCATTCATTAGGCATTGTCGGAGCCACTTTCGCGCGACAAGCCCACACAGTGTCGCCGAAATGAATGAATGTCTGGCGAGTTCTGATAAGGGCCGTTAGAGGCCGTTTTTCCAGGGTGGAGACCCACTGTGCGCCGTGTACTTTTTGACTTTTAGCTAAAGCGATTCCTATCGAGGTGATTGTGCAGATTTCGATGTGTTTCCCCCACTTTTAACCCTTGAGAACGGCGGTACTTGTCACAACAGCTTGCCCTCTGTGCTCCAAAAATGTGCTCCTTCAAAATGAAGAATCTAAATTAATATTTTGGTAAATTTTCACAGTTCCCAGCTAATATCTCTTTATATTTTGTGTTTTCCAGACAACTGTCCATAATGTCCGACGGCGTGAGCATTTTGCACATCAAACAGGAGGTGGACACATCCTCGGCGGGTGGCGGAGCCTCCTGCTTCAGTCCGGGGTCCAAAGCAACCACCACCACCACACAGAGCGGCAGCAATGGCATGAAGTCCTCGCCATCGGTGTCGCCCGAAAGGCAGCAGTGCAGCTCTACGACTTCCCTCTCCTGCGATCTTCACAACGTCTCGCTGAGCAACGATGGCGACAGTATAAAGGGCGGTGGAACGGGAAGCGGCGCCAGCGGAGGTGGCGGCGGAACAAATGGCGCCAATGCCAGTAACGCCAGCGGAGGAGCAGGATCAGGATCCGTACGGGATGAAATGCGGCGACTGTGCCTGGTGTGCGGCGATGTTGCGAGTGGATTCCACTACGGCGTGGCCAGCTGCGAGGCGTGCAAGGCGTTCTTCAAGCGGACCATTCAAGGCAACATTGAATACACGTGTCCGGCCAACAACGAGTGCGAGATCAACAAGAGGCGACGCAAGGCCTGCCAGGCGTGTCGCTTCCAAAAGTGCCTTCTCATGGGAATGCTCAAGGTAATCCATCAGTTACAAACCCAAGTTTATGATCTAAAACCTGATTTCCCTTTTAGGAGGGCGTGAGGCTGGATAGAGTCCGAGGTGGAAGGCAGAAGTACCGGCGTAATCCCGTGTCCAACTCCTACCAGACTATGCAGCTGCTCTACCAGTCTAACACCACCTCGCTCTGCGACGTGAAGATTCTAGAGGTGCTCAACTCGTACGAGCCGGACGCGTTGAGCGTTCAGTCGCCGCCGCCTCAGCAGCAGGTTCATACGACTTCCAGTGCCAACGACGAAGCCTCCTCCTCCTCCGGAAGCATCAAACTTGAGTCCAGTGCCGGAGTGGTCACTCTCAGTGGAACGTGCATTTTTCAAAACAACAACCACAACGATCCCAATGAGATACTCAGTGTCCTGAGCGATATCTACGACAAGGAGCTGGTGAGCGTGATTGGATGGGCCAAGCAGATCCCAGGCTTCATAGACCTGCCGCTGAACGACCAGATGAAGCTGCTGCAGGTGTCCTGGGCCGAGATCCTCACGCTCCAGCTAACCTTTCGGTCCCTGCCCTTCAATGGCAAACTGTGCTTCGCCACGGACGTTTGGATGGACGAGCTCTTGGCGAAGGAGTGTGGCTACACCGAGTTCTACTACCATTGCATGCAGATTGCTCAGCGAATGGAGCGCATTTCGCCCAGAAGAGAAGAATACTACTTGCTGAAAGCCCTCCTGCTGGCCAATTGCGACATCCTCTTGGACGATCAGAGTTCGCTGCGCGCCTTTCGCGACACGATTCTCAACTCCTTGAACGATGTCGTCTATCTCCTGCGCCATTCGTCGGCGGTGTCGCACCAGCAACAGCTACTTCTTCTGCTGCCGTCGCTGCGGCAGGCGGACGACATACTGCGGCGGTTCTGGCGGGGAATAGCCCGCGAGGAATCGGTCACCATGAAGAAACTGTTCCTCGAGATGCTCGAGCCGCTGGCCAGGTGAAACCCAAGCAGCCAATCTAGTTGATCTAGCTGATAAGCAACGGTGCAATATAGTCATAAGTTGGGCGTATACTAGACTAGATTAAGCGTAGGATAAGCCCCTGTACATAAATAGTAAATACTTGTCGGGTAAGATTAGTGCGCAGAGGAAAACCTCCTTTTAATTTTCTACCAACTAAAGCAACTGAAACCCTACTTAAGCCTAGGATCGGGGCGTGTCTATACAGGTTGTTTTTTATAGTCGTACCACCACGATAAGTGGGTGAGTCACGTCCCCCCGATTATTTGTTCAAATGAAGTCCCACTAGTAATGATATGCCATTAAGCTTCCGACTCTGGTGAAATTGGACAAAAGTACACAGGGAAGATGGGTCTGTTTTAAGTTTAAACTCTAAAGTAGGTCTAAATAGGTCTTACACGACAGTGTATAGTGTTCTTTAGCTTAGGATGGCTGTATCCCAGTGAATTTGTTGTTAGAGCCAAATCTGGTAACCTTAGTTGCCCCTAAAATAGCCATTATTCTCGTATAGAGGTTTCTTCGGAAATATTCGATCAACTTCGGAACTAAACATACTTTTAGTTTCGCCTATAATTTTGTTCGGTAAATGTTCGATTAGTTTACCCCAAGGTCCCAAATAATTATGAAATAAATGTGTACTTTGTGAACCTTGCAGTATTTAATAGTTTCCTTTGCGGGGCGCTGCTTGAGGCGCCCAAGAAAAATGTCCTATTGCTTCGACCGCATTTGTACGACAGTGGCTCCCACGTTTTTACCATTAAGTCTAGTGTTTCTTCCCAAAACTGCAAGGATATCGCGAGGTCTTACGGCCTACAATTAGTGCTATCGATGGTCTTATTTACAGTTGCAGACTAGAGACGTTGCATCATCACCAACTAAAGCTAATCCCCATTATTGCTAAATTAAGGCGACTCGAAGTACTTGTTGGAGCTCTCCTGGAAGCGATCACTGCGGGCCAGCTCGTTCCGAAAGTAAGAGATGGTCCGCTTGAGTCCTGTTTCTAAAGGCACCTTCGGCTCCCAGTGGAGGTGCTGGCGGGCACGCGTGATGTCCGGTTTCCTCCGCTGCGGATCATCCTCCATGGCCTTCGTCTGCCGGATCACGCTGGGCCCTCCCACCAGCTGTTTTATGATTTGGGCAAACTCCCCAATCGTCTGCTCCACCGGATTGCCCAGGTTGATCGGCTGTGTGTAGTTTGAAGCCATCAAGGCGATGAGCCCATCCACCAGGTCAGAGACGTACTGAAATGAGCGTGTTTGCTTCCCATTTCCATAGACCGTAATGGTTTCGTTCCTCAGAGCTTGCAGTATAAAGTTGGACACCACGCGCCCGTCGTTCATGTGCATCCTGGGTCCATAGGTGTTGAAAATGCGAGCCACTCGCACTTGCACTTTTTCCTGGAAATATACATACGCGCCATTAGTACCAGATTGGTTTCAAAGCTTGGGAATGTGGTCAGAGATCGGGAATCTTATCTCGTGACAAGCGGCCGAGCGGAACCCTTAATTAATGGAATACCAATTGAGATCATTTAATGGTCGACTGCTCTGGTGGAATCAGGAAAGAACTGCTACAGTTCTGGATTTATTCCAAGGGCTACTATTTATCTTTTCTCAAAAGAAGTGAAGATATATTTGGACATCAAAATAAAAATGAATAGGGGATTTTTCTACATTATCTATCTACTTCGGGGTGATTAAAAAGGGGAGATGCTTGCTCATAAAAAACTTCCCAGAAATTATGAGCAAACGAGTGATTGCAATTTAAGAAAACAATAATTTGGGAGTGATTCATTGAACCCTACCTGCTTGGCGTACGCATAGCTGAGGGTTTCGGAAACCCGCTTCCCCTCATCGTAGCACGCCCTCGGTCCGATGGGATTCACATGGCCCCAGTAGGTTTCCGGCTGCGGGTGAACGGTGGGATCGCCATAAACCTCCGAGGTGCTCGCTATGAGAACCTTGGCCATCACACGCTTGGCCAAGCCGAGAACATTAATAGTGCCCATAGTGTTGGTCTTGATGGTCTTCACCGGATTGTACATGTAGTGGGGCGGCGAAGCTGGCGAGGCCAGGTGGTATATTTCGTCAATCTCGATGAATAGAGGGTTCACTATGTCATGATGAATCAGCTCAAAGTTCTCGTGGCCCAGCCAATGCTCGACATTCCGTTTGCGGCCAGTAAAGAAGTTGTCAACCACAATTACTTCATGGCCCTGGACCATTAGGTCGTCCACCAGGTGGGAGCCCACAAATCCAGCTCCTCCTGTAATGAGGATACGTTTGCGATTCTTGTAGTTAAGGTACTTGACTTTCGGGTATTTTCGAGGAGTGCTGGTTTGCAGGGAACGGATCTGCTCCTCCAGATGAGCCAGGTGCTCCCTGGTCCGCTGCAACTCGGCTTTCTGTTCGCGGATCAAAAAACTTTGCTCCTCGTAAGCCATCTGGAGGCTGCTCTGGACTGAATTTTCTGTCGGAGGCAATCGCGCTTGGGCACCTTCTGCAGGGCTTACTTCCGAATTGCCCGCCGAGACACTGACCGCCCTGTACAGGTAGACCGCGGCAAGAAGCAACAGCACCACGCCCGCCACGATCTTGAAACGCTTCTTGGTGGCAGTCATCGTAGGAGATTGGTCGATGCGGAGTCGGAGGTTGAGTGTTGCGGATTCCCAGTGCTTATCAGCGACTGAAATCGCCACATTGCATCCTCGGTCAGCTATTAAAACTATATAAACAATACGGCGAAAATGTTATCAAATTAGAGTGACCAACAAGTTTAAAAAAAGCTTGGGCAAAAAAAAACGTCGAAGGCCAAAAAATGAGTCGAAACCAATTTCTTATTTTTAGTCGAGATAAATGACAGTAAAACATTCTTTAAATTTATCAACGAAATCCTTTCTTATAAGTTTTTGAAGTCCTGATTATAAAATATCTCACAAATAATTAAAATCTCATCTCTAAAAATATCGGTAATGTCGATAATCAAAAGCTAAGCGCCAAAATTGGTCACACTGCTTTTTGAGTCAGCTGCTTGTAGTTTTGCGATTTCATTGCAATTTTAATTTGCTAAACTATTTAAACTGCAACCTGGTGAGGAAGATGCCGAAGGAAAATGCGGAGGACCAGGCGGGCCAGGAGCTTAAGCAGACGGTCCAGGAGGTGACGGCTGCATCCGAGGAATTGATCGAAAAGGCGGTTGCCGGCTTAAAGATTCAGGATCCTGAATTGGCCAAAGTAGCCGGAAATGAGTCTAAAGAGGGGCCTAGCACAAGTCAAAACAGGCCTGCTGTTTCTTCAGATGCCAGTAAGTAAAAACATATATTGAAAAAGAGTTTTTGGAAGCCCCTCCTTAAGACTGACAAAAATGAGGTTAGGTTTGCTTGGGAGGTACAGGCAAGCATCGTTAGGTGGAACATTTAAGTAAAGGACATCAATTTTTCATATGAAAAAGGTCATTGCTACTATTAATTTTACTTTATTATTATATATAATGGCCAATTATGTTGACTTTACTTTAGATCGTAATAATATATTTTTGAGTTCCTTATTTAGTCTTTTTTAAGAAAACTTGAATTATATGTTGGCCACGGTCAGCAGCTAATTTAAACTAGATCTACATCTTTTTAGCCAACTAATCGTTGGCCGTGCCTGATAAGCAATCAATAATGTACGAACCTTGATCCATCCCTTTCAGGCAAGCAGGCCTTGCTACAAGCCGTTACCGACGCGGTGGCCAGCACTCGCCAGATGGCCAAAAAGTTTGCTTTCTGGTCCACACAGCCAGTGCCAAAGCTGGACGAGCAGGTCACCACAAACGAATGCATCGAACCAAATAAGGAGGTCAGCGAGATTCGACAGGAGCCGTACACCTTGCCGGGTGGCTTTAAGTGGGTCACCCTGGACTTGAACGATGCTAACGATCTCAAAGAGCTGTACACCCTTCTAAACGAGAACTATGTGGAGGACGACGACGCCATGTTTCGGTTTGACTACCAGCCGGAATTCCTCAAATGGTCTCTGCAGCCACCGGGGTGGAAGCGCGATTGGCACGTGGGAGTGCGTGTGGAGAAGTCCGGCAAGCTCGTCGGCTTCATATCGGCTATTCCCAGCAAGTTGAAGGCCTACGACAAGGTCCTGAAGGTGGTGGACATAAATTTCCTGTGCGTGCACAAGAAACTCCGGAGCAAGCGTGTGGCTCCCGTTTTGATTCGTGAGATTACACGGCGCGTCAATCTCACCGGCATTTTCCAAGCTGCCTACACCGCCGGAGTGGTCCTGCCCACTCCAGTGGCCACCTGCCGCTATTGGCATCGTTCCTTGAATCCAAAAAAACTCGTTGACGTGCGCTTCTCGCACCTGGCCAGAAACATGACCATGCAACGAACCATTAAGCTGTACAAACTGCCAGATCAGCCCAAAACCAAAGGCTACCGGAGGATCACGGCCAAGGACATGGACAAGGCGCACAAGCTGGTGGAGGAGTACCTGAAGCGGTTCCAGCTGTGTCCCTCGTTTAGCAAGGAGGAGTTCCGCCACTGGTTCACGCCAAAAGAGGGCATCATCGACTGCTTCGTGGTCGCGGATGAAAAGGGAAACATTACGGATCTAACGAGCTACTACTGTCTGCCATCGTCTGTAATGCACCATCCAGTGCACAAGACCGTACGTGCGGCCTACTCATTCTACAATGTCTCCACTAAAACGCCTTGGCTTGACCTGATGAACGACGCCCTCATCTCGGCCAGGAATGTCCAGATGGACGTCTACAATGCTCTGGACCTCATGGAGAACAAAAAGTTCTTTGCTCCCCTGAAGTTTGGTGCCGGCGATGGAAATCTTCAATACTACCTGTACAACTGGCGCTGCCCAACGATGCAGCCCGAAGAGATCGCCCTGATACTCATGTAGGCATCCCCCAGTTAGCTCCCCCTTTGTTCACATTCTCGCCCTGCCTCTCGCCGCCGCTCGCTTTGTTTACCCCGCTGGAAAAAAGTTCCCTGCGGCAGCTTTGCTTGGGCCTCCTCCACGATACTACCACACGTATCCCGTATATTAAGTTGCTCCGGCGGGGAAAGTCATCTATCTAGCATCATTGTGAAAACTGCATTTTGCAACGGCCAAGCTTGGATATTTTTTACAAATAAAAACAATAACACAAAATGAATAAAATGCGCAGCAATATCTATACAACTTATAATTCTTTTTATTAAGAGGGTTTAGATGCTTGGTTTTTTAATCTTATTTCTGAAATATTTAACCTGGATTATCTGGAATTATTAAATTTTAATTCTTAGATTGTATTTTTTAAAAACAAATATTTACCTGTAAATTTTAGATTTTATTCCACTGTTCCTACTTTAAGCAGTCTGGCCAGCTTGTTGCATCTGCAACTGTCTGGCAGCGCTGAAGCAAAAAGCGCGCAATCAGCAAAACAGCTGCAATTGTATTAATTTTGTAGTAAATGAATTCGTTTTGTAAATGTTTTTATCCTAATTTTCTATTAAACTGAAGTCGCTATGGACGATTCGGTCTTTAAACAAAAATACCAAAAGTACAAACTGCGAGTTAAATTGTGGGAGAAAGATTTTAAAAAGAAGAATGGACGGGTTCCCTCAAAGGTAATGTTTCAAAAATTTAAAATGTTTATTATTGCTTTAAATCAGTGAAAATTTCTTAATCCTGTGAATAGTATGATATTCGAGAAGCCAGTCAGGAGATTCGCGATTCCTACAAGATGTATTACAAGCTGAAGACATCGTTTTTAGAGGAGACCCTCAATGATGTGCTCTGCGAAGATGGCTACGATATCTTGGAAATGTCACAGGCCAGCGAGTTGGGTGTCAGCCTGCTGGATCAGGACATTAGTGTCAGTGGAGGCCCGCAATTGCCGTTGGATATATCAGCCTTAGTAGAGCCACAAAGCTCCCAACATAATGAAAAGTCTTCTGAAGGGCAAAGCCCGTTTTCCAATCTCCAGGACCTTCCAAATCCCCAGGTGCTGAGCAACCTATCCAACCGCGATGAGAACCATGTGATACGAAAGTTCGAGGCAGTGGAAGAGCTGCCAATTAATCAGAATGCCTGGGGAATCGATGTTAGCAAGAAGCCAGCTGCTCCCCTGGAGGCTTCTGTTTCAGCTCCAGAACAGCTCGGAAAACAGGTCAAGGGTGCGGCGGCCAGTCTAAAGCCCAGCCTGAGCGCCAAGTTATTTCAGTCCACGCGCGGCTTTGCCAAACGCAATCCCCGTAAGCCGCTTTCCAAAGGTTCCCTCAATGCCTCTAAAAGTTCATCCACCTCCCTCAACACTGGTGATTTAAATGCCTCCGAGGAGCTGCCCGACTTTGAAACCATTCTTCTTCGCAAGGCCCAGGAATATAAGGAGAAGGAACAGACCATAGCTGCCAATCCTCTCCTTGCCGGTGATCTTGCCAAAGAACCTATTAAAACTCAGGTGGACGAGGGCTGGCTTCAACGAAATACCAAGGAGAATGCCCTTGAGGTGGAGACGCACACTGTGGAGCCCAATAATAATAGTACTCCGCAGAGGAAAACCAATTTTGGACTGACCAATCTAGATTTAAGCAAATTAAAGCCAAGAATTCAGGAAGAGCAGGTCAAGATTGAACAGGAGGGGAAGCCGATAGTGGAAGAACAAGCTTCCAAAAAGGATCAGCCAGATCCAGCTACAAAGGAAAACCATAAACCCTCACCTCCTCGGCAGAGGCAAGCTCCTGTAGAACAGGAAAGCAGTTCTGATTCTGACTCTGTGGTTGCGGATAGTGATGAGGAACCGGAGCTGCAGGAATACCGCCAGCTGGCCAAGCGACGCAGGATAGTGCCGACCACAACAGGAACATCCGAAGTAGCTCCTCCAGCGGAAATACCCAAAGACGCTGAAGCCAAGACTGAGACTGAAAGTAAGCCCTCCGACGAGGTTAAAGACGAATACTTACCGGACTTCTCCGCTGACGAAGAGAATGATGCAACTTATGAGCCGGCTAAGACCAAAAAGGAAAAATCCAAGCGGAAACAAGCTGCTGGAAAACGACAAACCACCAAACCCAAGGCGGAACCTAAACCCAAAGCCGAAAAAAAACCCAAAATTAAAGCCGAGAAGAAGCCGAAGGTTGAAAAGAAAACCAAAAACACCGCCACGGTCGAGGCTGCTTCTCATAATCCCGAAGAGGAGGAACAAAGTCAGCCATTGAACCCTGAGGACCTTAAGTATGTACTGGCCTTGGAATCAGGAGACATCACGTCAGTGCCCCGTATTAATCCTCAGGATTTGGAAAAGGCCGATGCCACGGCACAGCGCTACATTAGCACCTTTGCTGTTCCTGCCTCTGCATCCTCCAGCGGATCCAACTTCCGGGTGGATGAAAAACGAGCGGCTGCTCGGAAAAAACTGGAGGAGCGCATTGCATCCGGGAAGCTCAACGAAAACTTCGTGACCATCAACATTCAGAAGAAGAAATTTGTGCGAGGCAAGAAGTCAGTTAATTTCTCCAAATACAAGAAGCAACAGTGGCGGCACAAGAAGCGAGTAGCTGCCCTAAGTGGGCCGGACATGGACATGGGAGGCTGTGATGGCGGAGTGCTGACTTGTTTCGAATGCGGTGGAGCTGGCCATTTTGCGCGGGACTGCAAGGTTAAGGGGGACAGCCTGCTGCCCCTATCAGCCCAGCTAGAAGAAGATCCCTCGCCTTTCCCAACGCTCGCTGAGGTCCAGGAGATGGCTTCTCAATCCGCACTAGTGATTCACAGTCGCAACATAGAAAGATTGCCCCAAGCAGCCAATGCAGCAATCCTGCAACGAGAAGAGCCCAAAGATGATGACGAAATGGACATCGATAATGAAGAGCAGAAGACTGAGGAGGAGGGCTTGGTACCCGAAAGTAGCGAGGATGAAGAAAAACATGAGTATTCAGAACCAGATTGGTCCAGCGATGAGCAGGACATTGATTTTGAGGCTTTGGATGCTGCTGTTGAAGCTTCACTTAGCCAGCCAGAAGCAAAACCAGCTTCTCCCATTAAAACCTATGTGGGCCACAAGATTCCCGAGGAGTTCCTTAAGCAGGCTGGCTTGGATTCCAGCTCCTCCACTTCATCTCGAAGCCGGCATGGCGGGGTACAGCCCCTGTATGACCTCTTACCGGATGGAAGTGTGCAGGATACCACACCGGAGGTCATGGAGGCACTACATATGTTCGGTCACAGCAATTTCCGAAAGGGTTAGTAGCATAATCTTAAAGACTTGTCTTTCTTTACTAATCCCCCGAACTCTTTAGGTCAAGATCGGGCTATCATGCGCACGCTTTCGGGCCTGTCCTCCCTGGTAACCCTTAGCACGGGCAGTGGCAAGTCCTTGTGTTACCAGCTACCCGCCTACCTTTACAGCCGCAGAGTAGGTGCCATTACACTGGTCATTTCGCCCCTGGTGTCGCTTATGGAGGACCAAGTGACTGGAGTTCCGCACTTTCTGCGAGCCCATTGTCTGCACACCAATCAGACGCCGCCGCAGCGAATGAAGATCCAGCAGCTGATTGCCAATGGGGAAATCGACATCCTGTTGGTGTCCCCGGAGGCAGTAGTTTCTGGGGAAAGAGCCACCGGGTTTGGGGCCATTTTGCGCACTCTGCCGCCGATCGCGTTTGCCTGCATTGACGAGGCTCATTGCGTCTCCCAGTGGAGTCACAACTTCCGTCCCAGCTACCTTATGATCTGCAAGGTGCTGCGCAAAAATCTCGGCGTTCAAACCGTACTAGGACTCACGGCCACTGCTACATTGCCTACTAGGGTGAGCATCATTAATCACCTGGGAATCGTAGATGGCGAGCGCGGCATAATCAGCGATACTCCCCTGCCGGATAATCTCATCCTTTCAGTGTCTAAGGACGATAATAGGGATGCAGCCTTGTTGCAGCTGCTTAATAGCGAACGGTAACTTATTTTATTGTTAAATTATTGCATCATTTATGAAACTATGCATCCACAGCTTCGAGCCGTGCCAGTCCATCATCATCTACTGCACCCGGCGCGACGAGTGCGAGCGCATCGCAGGATTCATTCGGACATGTGTGCAGGACCGGAGGCAACCATCTCAAGACCAAGGCAAAAAGCGTAAGCGGGTCAACTGGCAGGCAGAGCCCTACCATGCTGGAATGCCTGCTTCCAGGCGGCGAACTATTCAAAAGGCCTTCATGGGCAACGAACTGCGCATCGTTGTAGCTACCATTGCCTTTGGAATGGGTATCAATAAGCCGGATATCCGGGCTGTTATCCACTACAACATGCCACGTAATTTTGAGAGCTATGTCCAGGAAATCGGACGTGCAGGGCGCGATGGATTGCCGTCCCACTGTCATCTCTTCCTGGACTCCAAGGGCGGGGACCAGAGCGAGCTTCGCAGGCACGTCTATGCCAACTCCATTGACCGTCACGTGATCCGCAAACTGCTGCAAAAAATATTTGTGCCATGCAGCTGCGATAAGAATCCAGAAAAGGGCACCGTTCAATCAATACCCGCTGAGGGCGATGGCCCGCGGCCGCATGTGTGCCCTGGACACGAGATCGGTTTCTCTGTTGAAAAGACCGTCGAGATGCTGGACATTCCGGCGGAGAACATTTCAACCCTGCTCTGCTATATGGAGCTGGATCCGCGCTGGTGCATCAGCGTGCTCAGCTCCGCCTATGTAATGGCAAAAGTGATCTCATATGGTGGACCCAAGTACCTAAAGTAAGTCTTAAAGAACAAATTTTAAAAACCGTTTCGATTAATCTTTAACCAACATAGGCACGCTGCCAAGGAGTGCCCGCCGCTGGCCATGGCTATAGCCTTGCAGATCCGGGATAAAACTTTTAAAGATGACTCGAATATAATCGAATTCTCGGTGACCGACATAGCAGCGGGCATTGGTTGGAACAGTGGGGTGGTCAAGTACCAGCTAAAGGATTTGGAGTGGGTAAAGGGTAAGTGCCGGATCCTATTTAATCCCAGCTCAGCCGTAATAGTTTCATTTTCTTTTTGATAGTAAACGGCTTTCCTAAACGCTCCCCCATTACCGTGAGCTTCTACGATCTAGGCTTCCGCATCAAGGTTCCGGGGGATTTTACGGAAACGGAGATCGATAGTGCCCTAGACACTCTTTACACGAGATCCGTGAAACAGGAAAGCACGCAGCTTATTCAGCTTCAGTATGTGGCCCACGGCTTGGCGGCCGTTGCCTACAGTTCCGCTAGCCAGTGCTGCAGTGCGGACTTTCCGCAGGATCGGTGCGAACAGCTGAAGGCAATCGTACGAAATTATTTCCTCAATGACTACCCGCAGGATCTGGAACTAGAAGTGGAGGTAATGACATCTCCAAGTTTTAAATAAATATTCTTCTTCATATCCTTCATTTATTGCAGCCGAGTAACGTGCCGGACGAGCACATCGTAGATGATGTCCACGCGCTGATCAACATGTATCCGGATAATACGTTCACTGGCCGGAACATAGCCCGCATCTTTCACGGCATTCAGAGTCCTAACTATCCGGCCGTGATGTGGGGCCGTTGCAAATTCTGGCGGGCTCATGTCAAGATCAATTTCAACCGTATCCTACAGCTGGCTAATATGGCCATTATAAAGCGACGCACTTGATCATAATAACCTAAAGAGATGGACACAAAAATAATTAAGCTCTGTGTTTCTATGTGTGATGTCATCTTAGTCCGTACTGGATAAAGGATAACAATTAATTAAAAAATGTGTGATGCCATTTGAAAGTACATATTGTTGTTGCCTTTAAAATTATAAAATAATAGTTAATAAAGTTAAAAATTAAAAGAAATAAAAAGCTTGGTTTATATGGGCGTTTGTATTGTGGAAAATCGTTAAGAGTATGGAACTTGCTAGTACATATTTGAGTACTGTTGCTCAATTTTTAAAAACTGACAATTTTGTGGAGAATAATTACAAAATCCCTGAAATAAGATTATTAAAATTAAAATTAAAAATACATTTTAATTTCAATTATTTACCTCAATAGTGTAGAGATCACACACAACTTTGTTTAGATTGGCAAAGGTTTTTTCCTTGGAAGAGGATGTGACCTGGGGCTTCGTATTTAATTGGCATGCAATTATATGGACGCATCCGATCCTCCGAAGTGTTGATTGGAGGTGGAGAAGTCTTTAATCCTTTAATAGTTTTATTGAGAAGTAGTTGATCGTCTTTAATAAGGACTTTCAGCGTCTTGAATTTCTTTAAACAGGTACTAAACTTTGTTTTATATTTGTTCCCTATATAATTTTGTTGAGCTTCTGGCATTTTTGTGGCTTGGGTTTTAGAGATTTTGGTTCTTTTCCAATTTCAATCTTAGTTTTTGTAAGTTTTTTTCAGCTAGTGCTTTCTTATTAAGGTTTTCCTTTTGACTCTTCCTGTGATGGCTTAGGGTAGCTTCAAGAGCTGTTCACATTATTTATTGTCTCTATATCTACAGTATTAAATTCTTAAATAATCACTTTTTTACTTAACTTATATTAAACTATTTACTTACCATAATGAAGTCCTCACCTTCCAACCACGAGACGAACGCGCTTACCGGGTGGTCATCAAAGGCCTCCACTACTCGACCGATTTGGAGGACATTAAAGGGAGACTCTGCCAAGGACACAAGGTCAGGGATGTCCACAATCCCACTCAAAGAAGAAGACTCTTAACATGTTTTTTGCAAATCTAGAACCGGCAAAAAACAACAAGGAGGCGTACCATATTAAACGGCAATGCAGCTTGGTGGTCACGGTGGAGCCGCCAATCAAATGCGATAGCTCCTCATACAAAGGCTGCCCAGACTACAAGCTGGCAAGGAGTGTTTTTGCTCCCAGACAGACAGTCACTGTCACTGTCAGCCACTTTAGCCGGATCGACCCCAACGTAAGCTACGCCAGTGCAGTAAGATACGCTGCACCACAAGTCGAGACCAATCCCAAAGCCAACTAAATCTCGTCTAGCAATGCACCGAACGCGGTAATGGCTAGTAAGGAGGCCATTTTTGAGTGCATGATAGAGAAGGTCATGAACCAAATGACCCAGATGATGGCAACCCTTTGCAAATCACTATGCAAACGGTATTAGACATCACGATCTGGAACGCTAATGGATAAATCTGGATTAATTCCTAATTCATTACATTACATTACATTTTATTTAATTAATTTAACTATAAGCCAAGTTAACTATGAAACAAATTAATGGTTGTCCCCGAGAGACCTTTTTAAATAAAAATTAGCCCTGTTACCTCAGGGAAATAAGTATGTACATATATGTATGTGATTACTCGCTTATCTCTTCTTTAATCTTAGCTTTCAATCTGATATTGGTATGCAATACTCTACTCTTCTTTTCTGTTTTTACAATGCAGGTGCAAAATTTCTCTTTGCTCACAATTCTCACAATTCTTAGAGTTGATTTTTTTTTCTTAGGAAATAAGTATATGTGAATACAGAAGTTTCTGAGCAATTGTCAATTAGCGTGATAATTGGCTTGAGTAAATTGAGTTTAATTTACTATATTTTAAAGAAATCAATTAATCAATTATCACATCTAGCACTATAAAAAATAAAGTTTTTTCTAAGAATGCCTCGAGGAACGCACTTGACAGCCGAAGAGCGCGGTCTTATACTGGATTTAAGAGAAAGTGGCGCAAAAATTTCTGAAATAGCTTCCCGAGTTTCGAGGCATCCAAATACGGTTGCAAATTTCCTAATAAACGTGGAATGTTATGGGAAATCCGAACGCAGTGGCAGACCCAGTATTATTGACGAGAGGTACAAGCGGAGTATTATGCGTCTAACTGTTAACAGACAAATGTCCTGTAGCGATATCAAGCGTCATTTGAAGCTGTGTCATTTGAAAGTGTCCAGGAGTCGGGTTCATCAGATTTTGGCTACAAATGATACCGTCTTTCAGCAAGAATTTATAAAAATGGACGGCAGTTTGACAATGCCAAACAATTTTGTTAGCTGTTCAAAAGACTTATATATTAAAAAAAAACTTGAACGGATTCGCTTTGTTGAAAGTATACTTTTAAAAAAAAAAAAAGGATCCACATATACTTATTTCCCTGAGGTATATAAAAACTAAAAAAAAAATTTTCAGACAGGATAAGGCAACGGATACCCTGCATAGTTCTGTAGGTCTGTAGGTTGTTGATATTTTATCGACATTATCAAATATCGATATATCAGTATCGATATATGAAATATCGATATATAAGTATCGATATATGAAATATTTGTTCATCCGTCCCGTCTGAACGCTTTGCTTCCACGATTAAACTTGTTGTTTCAGACAATCGGAGCAAAATGACCCACGAACATATTAAAAAGCGGGTTTTCTTGAAATCGGTCAACAAAAAATATTGGATCAATTACATTTATATGAAGCCACTACTTTCTTTTCCGTTGTACATACACTATCAGAATAAAAATGAATTTTTTTTGCAATGGAATGTTGTTAATGTTATTTTCCCTGACATTGGTGATATATACCGATATTCGATAATATCGATAATTTTGCATCCGATATTATCGGGCCGATATGATATTTTTCGGAATATCGATATTTACGATATTCGATATTTTTCAAATATCAACAACCCTACTGCCGATCGAATGTTTCTATTAACCTCTAAAGTGGTTGCCACAGTTGTTGGCAGTCTAAAGTTGTTGGCAGTTGTCCCGCCACAGAGAATCTCACAAGCGGTCGAGCACAAATACTTGGGCATTACCTTTAAAAGGCGTCTTTTGCCACTCGTCGCCAAAGGCGTCGCAACTTGTCTTTCAGTGGTTAATTTTCAGTTTGGCTTGGCAATTCGTCATGAATAGACTCACGCCTGAACAACGCTTGCAAATAGTGACATTTTATTTCGAGAATAATATCGCGGACTACGACCATTTTATCATCGACAAAATCGTCCATCAGAGCAGTATTCGATCACCATGGAACGTTACCACGATTACTCTTATTGATAACTTGCATTTCTAAGCTATTGCAACTGTAGAGCGTAGCATTAAGGAAGACCCGAGTGAGTCCATCAGAGTCCAGCACAGAAATTTAATCGGTGTCCATCCACTTTAATGAAGATTTTGTGGAAGCCAAAACATCGAAACAATATTGCGATTGTTCCCGATTTTTTTATTTTTGTTTAGCGATGAAGGGCACTTCTGGTTTAATGGCTACATCAACAAACAAAACTGTCATTTCAAGTGAAGCTAACCCTGAGATTTATGGGAAGACACGTTTGGTGACCGCCGAATTCACGTTTTGGACCTGTGAATTGGCGTACAAGATCTTGTGACCGCTGGAGTACTATGGATACGTAAAGTCATTGGTCTCTTCGGATAAGCCGCTAAAGCTTGACCATTTGGAAGATAACATTCACAAATGTTGTAAAAAGTCACAGAAAATTGGACGTCCTGATTGAACTACGAGCCAGCCGTGGCGGTCAGAAATCATATTTAAAATGTAATGCCACAAGATTATCTTTCGAATAAAAATTCATGTCTAAAAAACCTCTAACAAAAACACTTTTTATTAACAATCAGAAGAGAAAAATAAAATTAAAAGTCAAAATAAGAAATTCAGGGACCCGAACCGCAAAGCCCGTGGGCTTTAATTGAATAATAGAAGTTAAAGTGAGTATAGTGTCAAAGTGTATAGTGTAATAGTGTCAAATATAAAAATATAATAAAAAGCACAACACATTAAGCAGGAATCAGGAATTCTTGAAGAAAGAGAAAAAAGAACGCTACTGGAAAACGCAACCTGTATTTTTTGATAGAACGATTGCATTTCTTTATACCACAAAAAAATAATAAAAATTCAAAAAAAAAACCCAAGAACATGACTATACAGTTCTCGATCTTTCGCAGAACGATACTTTCGAAGGAAAAAATACAATAAAAAATATGGGTAACTATATAATATAAATCAGGCCACAAAAAAAAAATTATTATAAAATTAATAAGTAAAGAAGAATCCAACTCCCCTGATTCCAAAACCGTAAAGAACCGATAGTAGCTGGGGTATACCAGTAAAAATATAAACAAAGTAAACGTAAACGAAGTAAAAATATGAAAAATTTTAAAGAAAACCGATAATGAGGAAGTAAATCACATAACCCCACAGCTCTACACAGAACCTCAGAAACCTCTTTCCGAACACCTCGAACTAAAAATAATTCAAATAAAATTCAAATAATTTAAAAACAAATAAATAAATAAAGAAGTACTCAACTTCTCTGATGCCAAAAGTGTAATGAACCAATAGCAGCTGCTTGCGTAAACGAATCAAAAAAAATATTTAAAAATAAGAACTCATTTAATGGGCTCTCAAAAATAAGTATAGAAGAACCCATTTAAAATTTAAAATAAAATAATTTCATTTTGGTAGCTGTTTTAGGCCGCAAGGCCCATAACCAACTGATCAGAACACGATAGCCTGGTCTATTTATATGAAAATTCTCGTAAACATTTTGACATTTACGACAACGACACGCATACCAAATGTTGCCCTAATTTTTTTTTGGTCGTTTGGTCACATTTTTGCTTTTTTTAATTGCACTATAAGTTGTCCGCAGGGCCCATCATACAATTATACAAGGTAGTCCATTCGTTGACTTAAGTCAATTATTTTAATTTTAACATAGTAAGCGTTGAATAGTGCGAGTGAAACGGCTATACAGTACTTTGCTTAACCCTCACACGGGGCATGGGGCTAAAAGTTTTA